TTTTTTTTCCATTCTGTCGGCGCTTCCGAGACCAAAGATCACACAAACGAGCCTAATAAATTGCCCCTGTCCTTCGAGAATGTTTTTGCTGAAGTTTCCCTTGTGGCGCTCGGCGTCCTGGTGTCGAACCCGTTAATGAAACATCGGCGACGTGGCGGGGATCCAGAGGTGGAAGGGGGAGGAGTTAAAGCGTGAAGGTGGTGAGGCGTTACCGTCGGAGGTGTGAAGGGAGAGAGAGTTTATTCTCAAGAATTAGATCTCGCAAAGACGAGGTGACCCCCCCCCCACCCCTCCCAACGTGTTCAACAGCTCAAAACTAACTAACAACAGCTCCCGAGGGTCTGCTTCCTTCTTTTAATCTCCGATATGAATCTTGGCAGTTTTTGAAAAGGATCCACTGGGATTGGAGATGTTTAAAAGCCTCTCAGGAGGAGGAGCGTTTGGCTGTGAATGAAATGAAATCACATTTCCTCTTGAACGCCACCAGACGATCAGATTTCGATGCTGCAGCATCATTTCTAATGCAACGCTGTCAACGACCTCATCAACAGGTCATCGCCGTTTTCTGCAGAAAGTGAATGGTTCTTTGTACATTGTACAGAAGCAGCTCGGGGAGGAAGGGGGGGGGGGGGGTCTTGTCTGTTTAGTTTTGTTTTTTTCTGACCGAGGTGTTTTATTTTCAGTGAAACACTCTGAAAGAACTCAACTTCCTTCTGGTAAACAGTGGCACTATTTGTGGTCGAGGCTTTTATTGTGAAAGGTACGAACAGTCAGACAGTTATTCCTTTTCAGACTCTTGTCTGAAAGGAATAATAAAGGAGCCTACGGGTTGTTGTCCTGAATACGTCCTATCCCGTAAACAATAACAACCTGTTAGCAGTTTCCAGTGGTCAATGCTAAGCTAGCATTGTGTTAGCTCTGGCGTTCTCACGCTGAGTCAACAGCTGAGATGAAGATCAGCACAACGATCCCACCTGGCCTCCTTAATCCCCCCCCCCCCCCGCCCTCTGTGGTGCGTCCGACCTATCCCATCATGCTCTCTGGTTTCCGTCCAGACTTCCTCGCCCCCTGAAATTATAATGTAACCGCTACCTCCGCCTTTTTGGTCTTTTGTGTGGAGGGAACCTGAAGCAGGTAAGCCTCTTTTCCAGGTGCGCCCCCCCTCCCCCCCGGCCGCCCTCTCCCATGAAGACGTGAAGTGTTTACACTTTGAAGACTTTTTCTTTCTTTGTTTTATAGTAAACACTTCCTAGTCGTCCAGCGATGCAACAACATCCTTCACATCTTCATCTCTCATTATTTTAATGTGGTTAAAAAACAACATTCTGTCTTTCTTGCTTTTCATCTTCCACAGATTTTAAAGCGTACAAAAAGTAAACTCAACTTCTAATATTCCTTCATCTTTAAATGATATAAACAGAGGTTTATTTAAAGTGTGCGGCAGGAATAATAACCATAAAACATGAACTGTTCACTAAAGCCCCACTTCATCATCATGGGGATTCATCTCCCAAATAAAGACATAGAAGTAAACATACCAGCATATCGCGTCATATCATTCATACGTACCTGTACCCCGTACTCATCAGATGTCACTTAGAATGTCCCTCACTCAGGAAAAAAAAAATCTACAACAAGGACACGACCAATCTCATTTATGCTTGAAGCATCTGTGAGTGTCAAAGTGACTGAGAAACCACCCTGGACGTAGAAATGGAGGGAGGAATTAATCCAAAGACGGGTGGAGGGTCTAGTGAGAGTCTGGTGGAGGACCTAATGAGAGATCTGTAACACTCATAATGTTCATCACTCAGTGTCGAAGGAACGCAGCCAAGACACCAGTGACTGACAGCTTCACACGTCCCATAGAACATATGCAGGAACACAAACAAACAAACAAACCTATTATTACCACCATCCTCACCATCATTATCATCATCATCATCATCATCACCCTCACCATAATTATCATCACCGTCCTCACCATCATCACCACCGTCCTCATCATCATCACCACCACCATCCATCATCGCCACCATCATCACCACCATCCTCATCATCATCTCCACCACCATCGTCACCGTCATCATCATCTCCACCACCATCCCCACCATCATCACCACCACCATCCTCACCATCATCATCTCCACCACCACCATCATCACCATCATCATCACCACCACCATCCTCACCATTATTATCCCCATCACCACTACCACGCTCACCATTATTACCATCATCATCACCATTACTACCATTACCATCCTCACCATTATCACCACCATCATCATCACCATTATTATCATCATCATCACCATTATTATCATCATCATCCTCACCATTAGCATCATCATCACCATTATTATCATCACCATTATCACCACCACAACCATCCTCATCATCATTATCATCACCACCACCACCATCCTCACCATTATCATCACCACCACCACCATCCTCACCATTATCATCACCACCACCACCATCCTCACCATTATCATCACCACCACCACCATCCTCACCATTATCATCATCACCACCACCATTATCATCATCACCACCACCACCATCCTCACCATTATCATCACCACCACCATTATCATCATCACCACCACCACCATCCTCACCATTATCATCATCACCACCACAACCATCATCATTATCATCACCACCACCACCACCATCCTCACCATTATCATCATCACCACCACAACCATCATCATTATCATCACCACCACCACCACCATCCTCACCATTATCATCATCACCACCACAACCATCCTCATCATCATTATCATCACCACCACCACCATCCTCACCATTATCATCATCACCACCACCACCATCCTCACCATTATCATCATCATCACCATTATAATCACCACCATCATCATCATCACCACCACACTCACCATTATCACAATCATTCGCACGTGATTTTGTTTTTGTTTTTTATTAATTAGTTTGGTTTTAATACTCTGCTGATGTTCAGCACGTCCCTGAACCTTTACAAAAGGATTTGTAGATGTCATTGTTTAAGTATAAAAATTACTCTTAGTGTGGCGTGTTTCCTCCGTCCTCTCCTGTTGGGCTGAAGTCTCTGATGTGTCGGGCAGCTTTGTCACCTCGTCAGAACGGAGAAAATAGGTGAATGATGGGACTAATCCCCGGGGGTTCGAGGGAGGGAAGATTGATGTCGCAAGGGACAACAAGGGCAGTAATATGTTGCCAGTGACACACACTCAGGTGGTGTAGTGACCCCCTCCACATCCATGCTGATTTGTTTTGTCCTCCGATGCTTTCTGGACGCGTTGAGGTTCAAGAAGTTGAGTTCTTCCACAACAAACTGGGAAATCCTAAGGTGTCTTCATGCAGAGCTGGTGGCGCACTGAGGTTTACAATGTAGGTGCTTCAGCAATAAGCTTCAATGCAGGTAAATAAAGAAAGCTGAGATCAATATGATTATTATTATAATTCCTCCCCCGGATGTATGATGTCAGATATTGATGTTGATGCCAACAGTAAAGATCACGTCAAATCATGCAGAGGATCCCCTGCATGCAGAGGATTATGGGTACGCTGACAGGCCTGACCCCTCCCCCTGTGGACACAGCACTTACCGCGCCCCTCCTTCCCCGCGCACACACGCACATACACACACACACTACAGATGCCCTTGCAGCCATGTGACCCCCTTTAACCCCTCGGCGTCTGCAGGTCCGTCTGAATCACCGTTCAGTGTCTGACGGATCTGTCTGTCTGACATAACGTTTGACTTTCATTCATCAAGAGAGCTTCCTCTGTTACCACGGAAACCGAAACCATCGTTTACTTGACCAGAGGGAAAAATGACCAGAACATTTGATCATCCAAATAGTTGCTGGTTTATTGTTGATTCACCAGTTAGTTGACTGGAAAGCAGTTTTTGAGTTAATTAAAAATGAGAGGAAAATGAACCTAATGACAATGTTTTCCTAAAATTAGTTGTGTTCTTTAAACCCAACTAAATAGTTTCTGTTCTTCTGCATTGAGAGTTGTTTTGATAAATGACTGAAAGTATGTCGAGCCTCAGACAGACCGCGACGTACTATGTATTCTATATATATATATATATATATATATATAATGTGAGAAGCGTGTGGCGGTGCACATGTCACATGCCACACATGAAGGTGATGTTGTCGGTGTGTTTTTCCTTCAAACGTTCCCACCTGACATTTTGTGTAAAAATCCTGGCCTTTGGGCCTTTGAGTGAAGCCAAAAGATTTCAGTGATGTCAGAGCAGTCACAGTAAGGGTTACGGCTGCACTGTGAGCTTCTCCATCGTTTGTTACGTCCTAGTTGTGCGTATTTGTGTCTAACTGCTTTTCAGTTTCAGGAAAATATATTCGTATTAGTAAGTATTCATTGTGGTGCTGTCATGTCTAAATAAAAGGCATTATACAGTGGACCTTCTGGGTGGAAACACAAATACACAAAGTAGTCAAATAAACACCTAAATGTGTATTTTGGGTATTTTCCTTCCACCAGTCTGAAAGAAGCATAACAGCCTCAAAAACCTCAAAATTGTCAAGTGCACAATGAGAGAGACGAATTCTGACTTCAAGGCGACAATGAAGAACAAAGTCCTTTAATTGTCACATTAAGGAAATGAATTCCCACTGAGACTCTTTTCTTCCGTGAAAAGTGAAAATAAGAAGAAATGAAAAGCTGACCTTGAACACAGTAAAGACGGGAGAGATGAAGCCGCCCCCTGATTGTTGTTGTAGGTCAACAGAGACTCACTAAAACCTCTCAACTCGTCTTTTGTTCTCTTCAGAATTTGATGAATTCTGTGCTGAAACTTAATGAACGACATGAGCAGACTCGGCGGAGATGTCTGATTGACCCTGAAACACGTCACTGGAGCAAAATGACTTACTGGAGCGTGATTGCTTCCTGCCTGCTTTTATTGTGTGCTACAGGTGTCGAATGACACAGCGCTACACAACCAAAGAACGCTTTTTTGTTAAATAGTGTGGCAAGAAACTGAGAATGCGCCCTTGTTTTTTTTAAAGGGAAGATTTTTCCTTTTCTTCAAACTTAATAGAATTCCTCATTGAAAGATCTAATATTTGAAAAGGAAAGCTGTGATGCATTCTGGTAGTTGTGTGTTTTTCCTGTTTGCATCACTGTTTCTGTATCATCTCACTGTGGATGAATGCGCGCACTGACTGTTGATGTTGACCTTCACGTTGAGGTGTTTGTGTGTCTTCGTTCCTGCAGAAACCCGGGATGGATCTGGCCGACACCTACATCACCTTCATACGGCAGAACCAGGACATCCTGCGCGACCGCATCAACGACGAGCTGCACGTGGAGGAGGTGTTTGAGGTGAGCGCGCGCTCCCACGCTCTTATTTTGCCGGGGTTTGTCCACAAAGCTCTTAAAGATATCTGTAAACTGCTTAAAAATAATATCAGTGAGCCTTTCAAAGTAAAAGTGAAATAAATATAAAGATGCACTGATTGGAAAGCACATAAACGGATCAGCTTGATTTCTTCTTGACGTTAAATGTGATATTCTTTAACGTGTGTCGAGTGAGACGTGTAGATCTTAGTAATGGTCCTCACAGGAAGCCGTGCTTCAGATGGACTTGTCTCCAGATGTGTGGCCACTGATCCGCGTCGTCTCCAAACACAACACTTCATTCGCTCCAACACAAGCTGCTATTGGTTCCCCGCTTCCTCTTCGGCTCCCGCTGCGTTCTGCTGTCACACGTTGTGTTTTCTGTTTCTAAAGATTAGATCTGTAGGATGCTGAGTATCTCTCAGTTGTCAATTTTCCTCCATCATGTCCTCCGTCTTCATGGCGTCTCCCAGCGGTTGCCCCCATCCCCTCTCCATTTCATACTCATCAAGGCTTTCTTCCCTTTAGATTTAGAAAAGGCTTCCGTATCTCGTGTATCTGTTTTCATTGGTCAAAGCGCCTATACAATCTAAATCAGTAAAGGGTATGATTTATAAAGAGATCCATTCTTTCTTGTAATTCACTGCTTTCCCCCTGTAGCCTTCACATTAATAACAGACTCGTGAGGGAGGACTGCACTTCTCTTCAATTAAAAGTCCTGTCTTTCTCCGCTCTATTTTCATTTGTAATGTGAGAGGGTGAAATATTGAATATATATATATATATATATATATATATATATATATATATATATATATATATATATATATATATATATATATATATATATATATATATATGAGAGAGAGAGAGAGAGAGAGACATGTCTACCTGTCACCACGGACCAAAACGAGTCTGTTATTTACATGAAGTCCGGATACAATAGAAAACGATCTTTGGTATCCAGCATTAGAATCAAAGGGTCCCTGTTCCCCTGACGAGCAGCAGCAGGGTAGAAACACCGTAACACACTGACGAAGATATCAGCGATAGGTCGATTAGAGAAGACATGATGTCATTGAAAGAGCTCCAATCAAATCCCAGCGTTACTTCTATTACACTTCTGTCCTCCAAAAAGACCCTTTTCCTCCTCAGTAATTCTCCGTCGTGTTCAACTTTTGGGTCAAATTCCCGTCTCAGCTCGGCATTTGATCAGTAAGCTCTCATCTCCTCGTGTCCTTTTTGCAACGTGCACGTAAAAACTCTCAAAGTGCAAGCGGCACAATCCTTCACAGTCGGGCGCCGGCGTGCTCGAGGTCTGATTTCTTCGGCTTTCGGAGCAGCAGTGGTTTCCATTCGAGGCCAAAAACACCGACTGCTTCTGTTGACCCGTTTATCACTTAGCGGAACACCGGGAGCCGTCTGTCCGCCCCTCCATCCCACGCTGTCTGTTTTGTGCACTACCCCCCTCCCTTCCCCCCAGGATACAGATTTGGAAGAATATTTGTTAGCGCAGAGTTGCAAAACACACCTCGGCTCACCGCCCCGAGTCGATGCAGCGGACATGGCGGCTCAGACCCTCGCACACATTAGCGCCGCGGAGCCCAGCGATGGATTTCTGCCACCTGCCGCCTCCTCCGAGGGCTCTGTGTGTGTGTGCGTGTGTGTGTGTGTGCGCGTGTGTGTGTGTGTGCGCGTGTGTGTGTGTGTCTTGGTCTAATGGAGCTCAGAAGAGCCCAGTCATGCACCGAGGAGGAGGTGATGGCGGGGGCCTCGGAGTGTCTCCACTCAGCACCAGTTTGTGTGCAACAAAAGTAAACCTCGTCAGGCGTCCCGCCAGGTGCATTATGGGTATGCCGTTTGTCTAGCAAAGTGTTAGTCAACACGGACGTGTGTGGAGGAGGAGAAGAGCCCGTTAGCGTGTGTAGCGCATGTGAGCATGCACGCAGCGGCAAACGTGCATGCTCACATGCGCCTGTTGGTCTATTTGTGTACAAGAGCTCACCAGGGAACGCTTTGTGTGAATGAGGAGTGTAATGCGCAAACACACACACACACACACACACGTCAGATCAGCCTTATGAAGCAGCTGAGGAGGTGAAGACAGAAATGTATCAGAAGTCATTTCCTCTCGTGGTTTCCTTGAAGCGGCTCTGGTACAGCAGGTGGCTCGAGGGTTCGGCGTTTCACTCCCAGTTTAATCCTCCTCTACGAGTCCCTGAACAAGACATTGAGCCCAAAGAGGCTCTTAGGATTTGATAATACTGTGGTAAATATAATGTTCCTAGGATTCGTTTTGAGAAAAATATAATAGAAAAATTCAAATTTTTGGAAACCAAACAAGACCTTTTGTTCCCCAAGGATATATTTTTAGTTTTACAACAACATAGAATAATTGTATTATATTACATATAAATATTATATATAATATATATTATAATATATTATTAGATTTTCTAAAGGTGACACCTGATAAAAGCACAAATAATCTCATGCCACAGATATTTCAGATGAGAAAACAATATTTTGAGTCTCAATTGTGGCACTTTTTAGGATTTAGCAGTCTTTTTTTTTTCTTTTTTTTGTTGCCAAAACCAGAATGTGTCAGATTTCTAAATGACATCATTACTGCGACACCACCAACGGATGCAGCCTCCGCTTGTCATGTAGAAATTGTTTCTGACAGGACTAATGCAGACCCACAATGCCGTGCAGACCCCCTCCGCCCTCCACACATTCCCTCCATCTGTTTTCACTCTCGTCCTCTAATCAGCTCAATTAAGGAGCGTCTTCGTACTCAATTTCCACGACTGTTAACGCGGCTGGCGAGGCGACCGTCAGGCAGCTGATTAGCCGCTCTGAGGAGAGCTCCATGCCCAGAAACTCAAATGAAGGACTCATTGAGGAGGAGGAAGGAAATGAGAAGAAATCATGTCAAAAGCAGCAAAATATAATCCAGTAATTTCCACATCCTCAAGCATCTGTTAAGTCAAGAGCACGAGGCGATTGTCAGCGAGCTGATTAGCATACAAGTCGAATTCCAGCGTATAAATCTTGAGGAGAGAGGAGGAGGTGAACATGATGGAGGACATGATGATGGAGAAGGAGGAGGACATGATGACGGAGGAGGAATGAAACATATAATCTGTCACACACAAAGGGGACGAAAAAATTAATAAAAGATGTCACACATGAGGCAACATTTCACACGTAAAGGTACTTCAACGTGCTTCACATAAGATACAAAAACATTAAAGACAGAAACTACTTCTTTTTGCTCCGAATAATGTTAAAAGTCTGTCGCTGCCTCTTTTTTTCTTCCATTAAATGTGATTGCATTTATTTTCACTCCAAAAAATAAAGGCCTTTCATTTTTTTAGTTGGATTTCAATCAACAAACATCTTGGAAGACGTAAAACTATGCATGACACTAATTATGTTATATCATCAATAACTAAACGTTAAAAATAAAACCTGAGGAGTTTCCTGTAATCGCAAAAACAAATGGGCCAAATTCCCAAACGATGGCCTCTGAATTCCGTGTGTGAGCCTCGTCTTCTGACTCTTCCCATCGAGGTTCAACGATTTCAAAGAGCAATCTTCTTCGGAGTTTATTATTTTCAAAAGAAGAAGAAAAGCGATCAGGAGCTGTGATTTAAATCCTTTGACAGTCTACATAGATCTTCTCGTATTTAGATGAGACACTATCACCTAGCTTACATTGAGGCGCTAGCGTGAAGGAGGTCGGGGGGGTCGATCCCACAATAGATGGAATCAAACATTTGCGTGGCCCCCGAACCACCACGGTGTTTTGGCTTTCGTCAAGTGAATGAAATAACCTTTGCACTGTTTTTCTCTCTTAGATTGGAAGGTAATTACAGTTCTTGTCGGAGTAGAATTAAGTGTGCGAGCGGCTCTTGAAGCAGATCTGAATATTACGGGTCATTACTGTGTCAGAGCAATTTTCCCGAGCATTCTTGTTTGACTGGTGACTCAATAAAAGCCGCCCCATTGTGTGCATTTTACCAGCAGCGAGTGAGGACTGCTCTTCAGGTGAGGGAAAAGGGTGCGTTTGATTTCGCTGCAGTTGCAGCACGGGTGGCAGAAGGTGCGAAGGCGGAGAGTTGAATGAAAACCACAAAAGACGACTGCTGCGAACTTTTTAAAGCAGAGCCGTGAACTCTTCCTCAGAAGAAAAGAGGATGCTGGCGGTATTCAGACCTTTTTAAATGAGTAAACCCAGTAGTTTGTTTTTTCAGAAGCTGCCGGCGAGCAAAATGACAAACTGTCCTTGTTCACAGAGCAGACATTAACATAACGTGTCTTTTAATCATGGTCTTTTGGAGGGGTTTCAAGATGCTCCTCAGCGTGTTCCTGACTCCTGGAGCAGCACGAGGATGCTTTCAGGGGCGTGAATGAAGCCGTTCAGCTGGTTCCTGTACAGAATGCGCTCTGGTGGTTCGAGGTCGCCTGATCCTCACAAAGAAATGTGTTATACCGACCTTTTACATGTAGGCCCTGTTTGATCGCTTTCAATGCTCCTGTGCTTCATGCTTTGAGGCTCGCTGTGCTCATATCCAGGTTTGAGGCTTGGATCTTTCTCCTCGGCTTGGTGCTCCACTTGGATTCACTGCCGATGTATTTGTCTTTTGTTTTGGCTATTTGCGGTTTAAATATCAGATCTCAGTGTGAACTGATCACGGTGTGAAAGACAAAAGGAATATTAACAGAAATGTAGAATAGAGCAGGCGTTTTTTCAAAATGCAGCTTTAGTCGATACTTAAACAGGTTGAAAAGATAGCGATGGAAGCTGGTGTAGAAGACATTAAGTAACAACTCTCTTCCTCTTTAGTCCCCATTACAACCATTAAGAAGCAAAAGCAGCATATTAAGACATTCAGTATACCTTCAGTAGCTAGCGTAGCATAAAAGTGCTCATGCTAGTTATGCTAACGTTCTTTGCTAATGTTAGCTCCACTGGTTTTTACCTCACAAGTGGACCGAAGTTTGAACCCCCGAGTTCGGCAGCTCGGCTGTCGCCATATTTTTTGCAACTAATGAAGGAAGTGACCACATTGGGACTGAGAAGGTCCCCACGCGTTTGAAGTTAAACAGGAAGTGGGACTGCAAGTGTACAGTAGTGTGTTTTGTGTTTCTTACAGCAATGGTACAGCAGCTCCATGAAGGTTGTGTGCGTCTGGCTGGCGGACAGACTGGACCTGCAGCTCCACACGTACCAGTTGAAGACGCTCATCAAGATTGTCAAGGTAAGAGAGTTTTCCGTCAACCATTCACCAGAACCTCTGACAAAAAAATATAATTAGATTTTGCATTTGTAGAAAGAAGTTAGTTTTGAAATTCACAGCCGAGGTTACTTTTCCCTTCTGATCCAAAGTGTCTTTGGGAGGTGTGTCAATGAATGAACTGCACATTAAAGGAAAAAAAATCTTATTTTGGGGCATATTCATGTGTAACAGTCAGAACTGACATTGAAGGAGAAGAAGAAAAGACAAATCACACCACGAGTGTCCTTGAAAGCGGCAGCGAGAGGAGAGAAAAACTGCTCAACTGTGCCGCTCGCCGCTTTTGTCTCCTCCGAGTCGAGAATGTAAAGAGACGCTCGGCTTTAAGTTGAAAGAGACGATGGTAATGGCGTCCCCCTCAAGGTGAAAGCCCTTAGACGCCTCGGCCTTCAGCATCAAATGCTTTTTTTCTCTCTCAGGCGGCGAAGCGGCACGGGCCTCCTCCCGCTCGCCACATTCCTAAAACGCTCTCTGTTTGCCTCCCCCGCCCCTACAGAAGACGTACCGTGACTTCAGGCTGCAGGGCGTCCTGGACGCCACGCTGAACAACAAGAGCTACGAGACCGTCTACACGCGGCTGGCGGGCGAGGAGGCCACGGCGGCCGTCAAGTCCGGGGACGGCCTGCAGGGCATCAGCATGAGGGACAGCGACGAGGAGGACGACTGAAGCCCCCCTTCGGGGTCTCTGTCATAGTTTTTGATCCGAGTTTTTGGTCCTGGTCCTTTGGCCCCCTCCATGTTTTCGTCCTCCTCTCAGACGGGGGCTTTGGGTTCCCGTTGTGCGTTCTTCTTAGAAAGAAAAGAAAGAAAGCCTTTAGTTCCTATCAAGATGATAAAAAAAACGCGCGCTCAGGGGCTAACCCCCCCCCCCCCCCCCCCTCCCTTTGTTTCCCTCCACGTTGAAACGTCCTCCTCCCTCCTCTCACCTGAACAGGAAGCCCCGCCCTCCTTCAGGTGCAGCCGTACTGATGTCACTCTGCACTGCTGTGGCGGTCTTTGACTGTCTTTTTATAAGCGACCTGTTGCCGTTTCTTTCTTTGTGGAAAAGGGTAATAATGGTGGTTTGTTCATGAGGATCCATTACAGAAATATAAAAAGAGCTTAATGAACATTTTATCGTTTTCTTTGGTTATCTCACTGGCGTAAAAAGAAAATGGTGGTTGTTGTTGGTTGCTATGGTGACAGGGTCAGTCCTGTTGGGTAACTTACATGACAAATGTGACGTGACCTTTTCTAAATGTGTCTCTCAAGCTGACAGGATGAAACTGAAAACATAAGGACAAAGTCCAAAGTTGCTTGCGTGATGTGTGTTCAGCGGTCTCACATCCGCAGGAACGTTTGGATCTTCTGAACCTTCTGGAGATCAAAATGTCCCAAGTCTCTCAGTCGGTCGTGGTTTTTACGTGTCGGGAGGAGCAGCGTGGAGGCCCAGACTCTCTCTCCGAGGCGTGGTTCCGTCTGTGATCCGACCGACTCGTCGGGGGTCTGCCGGTGAGGTGAGGTCGGGGGTCTGCCGGTGAGGTGAGGTCGGGGGTCGGCCTCAGCGTGGCTCATAGGGCGACGTCACGTGAAGAAGTATATTTATATCATCTTGTTTCAGGTGTCTTCTGAGTGTAATAAAAGTGTTTTTAAATCTCCCGTGTTTTCATTCTTTTATTTCCTGCTTTATGAAGAGACGTGACGATAACTTGAGATTGACTTCTATTGTCCACAACTTTAAAACAAAAATGTTTAGATCGGAAATCATTTTTTAATTTGGGGTGAAGATCTGTAGTTTGTCTTTAAACCACTTTACGGCTAAAAGCGTTCACAATGTTGCATTTTACGTAATATTGTATACTCTAGTTCTTCACTTGTCTGCAAAGAGCAATGTCCTCAACTTCCAACAGAACAAAACCTTTTATGAATAATAATCCATCTGAACGAATCCAGTGCTTTAAAAGGGGATATTAATATATAAGAAAGATGGTGATTTACAAAATATAGAGAGATAACCATTTCAATATATCAAATACATAACCATAGATAACCGTTATGTCTATACACACATATATTTATATATACTGTGTGTGTATATATATATATATGTAGATGTGTGTATTTTTGTATATATATGCAAATATATATTTATACATATGTGTCTGTATACATTTATATCTGTGTGTGTGTGTGTGTGTATATATATATATATATATATGTATGTATATATATATATATGTATGTATATATATATATATACATACACAAATATGTATATAGTATTGTTTTTCTTAAATCACTATTTGTGCAACAATCAGTTGAAGCTGATTTTAAAAGGCTTTAGTCTTAAAGATGGCTGCTCATTTACAGCCAAAGACCATCATTTGAAAAGTCCTTCTCAATATAGAGAGAAAGAAGATGTATTGGTGTCGAGGTTCTGAGGAGGTTCTTCTTCTGCTCCGTGGAGACCTGGTGCTGGCTGTGGGCCATCATCTGCACTTCTTCTCTCATTAAAAGAGCATCAGAGCTCTTCAGTGCTGCACACCAAGGACCACTGCTGCTTCATTTATAGCTACTACCGATAACAAAATACTCGACTTTCATGTTAGAATAATACTTGAAATTCCAGGTGTTCTAAAGCATTAAAACAAATAAATTGAAAAATAAATCAAGTTCATTAGAATCTTGTAAACAGCATTCAATTTTTTTCATCTTGATGTCATAGAAATACTGAACTGAACCTCTTTTTCCCTCTCGGACTTCTGTGAGATCATTTCAGGGCTCAATGGAAATAAAACTGGAGCAATTTTAAAATAATTCATAAACGTGATAATTGAAAGGAGATGAAAATATAATTACAAATTATAATAAATTCTTATTATAGCAGGCAGACAAAATACAAAAGCAAATCAACGCTTTATTACAGATACTAATATCTAATTATATCGATAATAATGACATAAAAATAAAGGCGTCCTTTCACGGGTGAAGTGGATCTGTTTCTTTGTCTCTCTGTGTTTCCCTTCAGCACGTGAACCTATAAGGACGTTTTAAAGATGTGTATTCAGTGTGTCATCGAGCATTACTTCCGATTTATTACCTAAATGTTTTGTATGATTACAAAGTTTTAATATATTTAAATCTGCTGACATATTTACTTTATTCAGCTGGAGGCCCGTGCTGCTAATATGAATGTAAAGAGCTACTTTATATTATTAAATAAAACAAAGCTCGTAACAAACTGTAAGAGGATAACTGCTCGTAATAATTATTGATTTATGTTATCACGTGACACTAAGAAGAGCTGATGGTCATTTCATTCAGCTGGAATGTTTAAAAATATGTTGTTTTAAGAAAAGCGTCACGTGTCAGTTTGTGCCGCCAAAAATACATTTTATTACAGACACGTATTTAATTTTTGGCTTCAGTTTCAAGTTGTTTCAGCAGCTGTCATTAGTCAAATTGCTATTTTTTCAAATGCTATAAATTATGTTTATAGAGGTGATGAAAAAATAATATATATTACATTTTTAAAATCGCAATTTGTATTTTTTCGATATAAAAAAGCTTGTTCTTCACCCGAAGGAAAACAATCGTACAAAAATAATTTCCGTGTTTTTTTTTGGTTTGTGCTGTAAAATAATAAAAAGTAAAAAGAAAACCCATCCAATGAGTTGCTCTGCGGTCACGCCTCCCCGGATCACGGCCCCGGTTCATTCGGTGGAGGTCACGTGTTTGAGGTTCTTTTGAACCCAAAGGTGATGTTTAGGCAGAAAGAGAGAGTTCGTGCTTCCAGGACCTGAACCCCCCCCCCCGGCCGGAGATTGATGTCTTGAAATCCATCTTCTGATCAACAGATTGATCTGATCGCGTCTGGTTCCCCGCGTGGCGGCGCGGGACACCAGAGGGCCTCACGCGCCAAAAGATGCGTCCAGATGTGGAACAGCTGAGGGATCGTGAGCCTGAAGCTGCGTTGCGAGTCAAAGAAAAAAAAAACAGAAAAACGAATGATGTCACGCAAAGCCACAAGGGGACCTGGGACTTACCAGATACCTTCCAGTTGAGCAGGAGTCCTGCCAAGAAAGGGACCTCCTCCTCTCCTCGTCTCCTCCTCTCCTCGTCTCCTCCTCTCTCGTCCAGCGGAGACAGAGCACAGAATCGACGGAGCAGAATTGAGCAAATTATCTCCTACTTTCTCCCCCGCTTCTCCGTCCTGGACGGTAACGATCGGCGAGGTCTCGGCTCTCTGCACGCCGTCATCGAGCATCAATAAGTAGGGGGGCACCAGGCCGGTGATTCAGAGGGGTGGGGGTTCCCCGGCAGATGATGCCCTTTCGTGCGGGCCGGTGGAGGAACCGCGCCGACCCCAGCTTCCCCGCAGCAGCTTCTTCTCTTCTTCTTGTTGATGCGGAGGTGATGGACGGTCCACTCCGCCGCCCAGCGGGGATCCTCTGCTCCCCTCCTGCTCCTAGGAGCCAGCCCGCGGGCTCCGACATGCTCGCCGCCGCCGCCGCCTCCTCCTCTTCCTCCTCCTCCTCCTCTTCCTCCTCCGGCGGCGGAAAGCCACTCGCTTTCTCCATCGACCGGATTATGGCGAGGACGCCCGAGCCCAAGTCTATTCCGCTCCCCAGCTGGCTCCAGCGCGCTCCCGCGGGGAAACCCGACGTGTGTCCGTCCTCTCTGCATTGCATGATTCCGCTGGTGCCGCTCGGGTACGAGCCGAGCCACCGGCTCAGCATCGCCGGGCTGGATCCGGGCCACTTCGACGCGTCGTCCCTCGCCGCTCCCGCGGACTTTTTGGGCTTTGGGTTGAAGGGCCAGCAGGAGGACCCCGCGTTGAGCCAGTCCACCGGCGGCCAGTACAAACTCTTCCGACCGCGGGTCGTGAACCAATCCTCCTTCCCCACCGTGGGCACCGTGTGCTACCTGAACTGCGGCCCGGACGCTGGGGCATGCCCGCCTCCCGCCGGCTTGGTCAACCTGCACCCGATGGCCTCGTACCTGTTCACCGCGCGGCACAAAGCCTTCATGGCGGAGAAGAGCAAGCCGGGCCTGCAGCAGGCCGGGGACAGGTACCCGGGCTCGGGGTGCGTGCAGGCCTTCAAGGAGCTGTCCCAGAGCCAGATCCAGCACTACATGAAGGAGCGGGACCAGATCCTCACCGAGAAGATGTTCAAGGGCTCCGCGGCGGCCCGGCTCGGCGGCTCCTGTCCCGGCACCAAGCCCAAAGTCTTCACCTGCGAGGTCTGCGGGAAGGTGAGTTCCGTTCCTCCATCGAGGCGGGAAACAACCGGGACAATTACGTGTTTGAGGGATTATTTTAAGGAGTTTCTTTATTTAGAAATCCAGATTTCAAATCGGATTCTTTCAAACTCTCTTGGGGAGAATGTTTGTAACTTTTAAAAAATGTCGAGATTTTAAATAATAGAAAATTTGTAAATACAGGAAAGTCGAAATTGTACGAATTTTAAGATGTATTTTATATCAGGATAGATAAAAGGGATTTTGGTCGGATTTGGAGGAAACAGTTTTTAGTTTTATTATAATGACAACATGTGGATGATGTTTTTTCATATTGTATTCCACTCTGACGCGTCAATGTCTTCTTTATTATATTTTAGTAAAAACGGTGATCACGTGAACCAAATGCGAATTACATGCTGAGCAGGTTTCCATGGAGGTTATTGTGTTATTAATGAGTCCGGATACATGAACTTTATTAGACTTTTTGTCTTATTGGTCTTCTTTTTTTGGCATCAATGGAAAATAACCTTTAAGTTAACCCTTAAAATGGAGATTAGAGTGTTGTCATTAATAAACTCATGTATTTAATTCATATATCCTATTATATGCTGGACAGGCTGAAATAAGACCAAATAATATTTTAATCCATTTAAGCTGCACTAGAAACTCCCTCAGATTTAGACAATATAAATTGAATGTAGCGTTATTTGGTAAAAAAATACACTTTATGTGTCTGATTATTTAAATGTATTATTATGATGAACTTAGTTGTTATTTTCATTTTCATTATAATATTATCATCATTATACTTGATCGTTATAATTTTTACGATATACAATTTCTTTTTTATAATTTTGTATCTTTATTATTGGCTGTTATTGTTGTTATTATATAGATGTTCTTATTTCCCTCCCAGGTGTTCAATGCGCACTACAACCTGACTCGCCACATGCCCGTGCACACCGGCGCGCGGCCGTTTGTGTGTAAAGTGTGTGGGAAAGGATTCCGACAGGCGAGCACGCTGTGCCGGCACAAGATCATCCACACTCAGGTAAAGAGCGGCGATCACGTGACTACCGGTAGAATTTCGGAAAAGACAGGACTTATTTTTAATAAGATTTTCATCTAATTGTTTTATTTAATAGATTTTCAACCCTGATGAAATGCGTAGGGGAAGTCAACTTGCATAACTTTTTAGTAGTTTGTAGTTTATTTATCTTATTTTGGTGATACATTGTAATTCTTTACTAAATTAATGATGAATAGACAATTGTATCAAAATTGTTTTTTTTGTTTAAGGGGGATTTTAAATATCGGGACACACTAATGACGTAATACAATAACGTTTAATAATTCCTCTATAAATGTCTGTCGATCAATTTGAACTACTTTCAATTCGGTCCGATGAATTTTTCATTTTAAGGTAATCACTATTTAAACCCACGTGCGTGTTACAAAATAAATAAGTAATAATAATCTATCAACGAATTGAGTTTTTAACTGACTTTTTAACTATTTGTGTAAATAAATATGAATCATAATATCAGCTATTACGCTCATTTTTTGTATTGGTTGCTCAGCCTGTTCGTTGCGCTGCAGCTCCTCCCGGTGTCACAGTGACTCCCACAATGCATCACTTCCCCTGATGAGAAAATCAAGTGAGCAGATGTTCGCGAATGAAAGAAAATAAGAATGAATCTCATAATATTCCTGATGTCCTTGAACGCATCTTATTATAACATTTCTTCTTTATTATCATTATTTTATCGTTTACTTCATTTTCAACAGCGATTTTATATTCAATACATATTTGTTTTACTCTTGATTTCTTTTAGGAAAAACCGCACAAGTGTAACCAGTGCGGGAAAGCCTTCAACCGCAGCTCCACCCTCAACACGCACACGCGCATCCACGCGGGCTACAAACCGTTCGTGTGCGAGTTTTGCGGAAAAGGATTTCATCAGAAAGGTGAGAAAAGTTTTTTATTTGTTTGAATAGACAAATTACCTTTATAGTTTTTCAATTAAATTATTGTATTTGTATGTTTTTTAAATGAAAAACACTTCGCCGTGAAATTGTTATATTAATTATGATATAGCAATGTCGGTAACATTGTAATAAAACATTTTTTAAAAATCAGGGGTCGACGTGGCGCGTGAGGTAGAGAGGGTCCGCCGGGGCGGTTCGAGCCCCCGGCTGCTCCATGTGCTCTGAGCGAAACTCCTAACCCCTAATTGCTCCCCGGGCAAAAATGTAAAAAGCTATGGGTTAAAAATGCAACGTAAGTCGCCAGCTAAAGACGTGTAATCTAATGTATAGCTTCAATTTGATTTTATGTTACATAGAAACGGCCAGCTGTCAATCTCACAGATCAAATCGTAGAAAAAAACTAAATCTCACAATAGAAAAAGTGATGGAGCATCTGTACAATAAAAACAAATCAAACACAGGGATTTAAAGAAGTTACACAAAGCTGCTGATCAAGTTACACAAGCTGATCAATCAGAGGAAGAAGTAAAAGTAAAACATTCAATATACTTACTTTTATAAAATATACTTACGGTTTGAGTAGAATGGCCCATTTCCGTGTAATATATATTCTATTGTTGCGTTTATGAAACAATAACAATAGTGATTAGTTTTTATTCTGGTAGCTTAATATGATAACACCCAGCATGTATTTGTTAATTATATTTAGCTTTAATAATATGGATTTGCAATAACTAAAGCTGTAAAAAAGAAATGTAGCAAACGTATAATAAACTGCCCTAAACGGAGTGGATTACTATAGAACGGAAGTACTCATTTCCCCCTCACTGATACCCTCAGATCTCTCTATACCTGAGTACTTCATTACTTCGTGGTACTTATTTGGGACCTGAGCATTTTTCTGCCGCGAGTAAAATAAAATTAGAAAACAACTTATTCAAATTAAATCTGCTGAGTCTGAGGATGGTTAAAAAACCCTTTATAGAAACTTTTTTTTATGTTCTTCTGTTTTTTATGATCTTTCCAAAAGTCACTTCGTCGATTCTGACATTCAAGGTTCTGTTTGCTCTTATTAGTTTTGGGAGTTACAGACGGATTGTTTCTATCCCCTTTACTGTTACTCCATTTATAGACGTATAAGCACTACTGTAAATGTTATTATAAAAATATAAAAAGCAATACAAATGTGTATCTGATTAAAAATAGGAAAAACTTTTCAGGGGTTAAAATATTCCTTTTATTCCTGAAATGCTCTTCAATGTGTGACACCAATTAGCTTTAACAGGTCAAAAGCTGAAACGTTTCACTTGAATCATAAATAATTCTTCTTTTTTATCCAACTGAATCAACCAGGTTCTTTTCACTCTTGTCCTGATCTGAAACTCACCCTCTGACCTTCGTGCAGGAAACTACAAGAACCACAAGCTGACACACAGCGGTGAGAAGCAGTTCAAGTGCTCCATCTGCAACAAGGCCTTCCACCAGGTGTACAACCTCACCTTCCACATGCACACGCACAACGACAAGAAGCCCTTCACCTGCCCCACCTGTGGCAAGGGCTTCTGCAGGAACTTTGACCTGAAGAAGCACATCAGGAAGCTGCACGACCTCGTGGGCCAGCAGTCGCCTCCAGAGGCCTGAGAGACGCCGATCAACACACTCCGCCCCCATCAGGCCTCGAACCGAACCTCGGCCCCTCTTCTTTTACATTACATGTCATTTAGCTGACGCTTTTATCCAAATTAGCAACTTGTACCCTCAAATGAACAGTGTGCCGTTTCCCCAAATGAGTGCTGCTCTCAGTTGGGCTTCTCTCTGAGCCATGAAAGAGTTTTGATGTTTATTTTCCCAAAATATATTGAAAAAATGGTTTTAAAAGCCTACATCTCCCACAATGCCCCTGGGTGGCTCAAATAATAACCCTGATGACATTACAGTGACATGATCAGGGTTATTTATTACCTCAGACTCGACTGAACTACTCCACCCGGAGGCCCTGGAGGAGGACGAGCCCCACGGACGAAACTGATCTGTGTTAAAAGCGTCCCTTCCACTTTCAGCGGGGGTTTGTTTGAGTGACAGGGACAACGGCCAAACGTGTCGCTTCTGGACAGTGACCCAAGTTCAACTTTCTCTGATCCCAGAAGGACCTCAGACCCCCTCAGTATTCATCAAATCGGCAGTATTTTGTCACATCGAGCTTAGTAAAGTGAAAGATGTTTTCCACGAGGAGGTTCTGTGGTTCTTTGATTCTTTGGTTCTGTGGTTATTTGGTTCTTTGGTTTTGTGGTTCTGTGGTTCTGTGGTTCTGTGATTCTTTGGTTCCATCGACGTGTCTCTGCTTCAATGTGAGCAGCTCGTCCGATTGACTCCAACAAAAGACATTTCCTTTGTATAAACAATGTGCCGTCCTCGACTTCTCCGGTCCATCCGTCAGGCCTGTTAACACCCCCCACCCCCGCCCCCCCGCCTTTCTTCGCGCTGCAAGAGCCATCGGGACAAGTCGTAGCCCCCCCCCTGCAGGCCCCGCGGTGGGCCCCCTCAGACTCTCCTCGCGATGGTGCCCCGGACAGACCGAGCCCCCCTGTCGGCGGGTTACGTTGTGATGGTATCCACTCACCTTTCAGTCATCAGTCTCAGGTTGTGAGATTTGATGAACTGACTCCGGAGATGAGGTGAAGCGAGTTTAAGGAAACCCTGTTATTCAAAATAAGTGTCTGGTGATTTTCTACATTTATCCCATGAAAAGACCAACGATGAATTAAACGTCTGTTCTTCTGTGTCACCATGAAGTCACTGATCTTGATCCTGACCCACTCAGGTTTCCTCAAAACATCGTTGATCGAATCCTTCTCTTGTTTCCTCCAGAGGTTTAACAGTTTCTTTCAACCTCACTTGTGGTTTTTGGGTCCCCGAGGAGTCCGGAGTGTTTCACACCGTAAAGTATCCGCCCCCTTCATTCCCACTGGAGACCTTCTCTCTGCATATTCACACAATACCTTGAAGAAAAAAAACTCCATCAGGTTTTAAGCCCTGAAAACACGTTAGCCCTGCATTTCCCGTAATGCGTCTGGATCAGGTATTTTCATGCCGCCCCATCGAACAGTGTAGGAGACGGGCTTTCTGTTGCGCCCGTCTCCCACACTGCGCGAGTAAAGAGACACGAGCAGCCAGAGGGCCGGACTCATGTGCTTGACCCTTGACCTCGGGGGATTCTTACAGACACTTAAGGTGCAGGGCAACTGATTGTCTGACTGTGTTTCTTCTTTCTAGTGTAGTATAATGTTATAATTGTTATTAGAAATGGTGAAAGAAAATTGCGCTGCAATCCGAGCTGTTACGAACCAGAAGCCTCTTTTGATCAGCAACAAAAAGACACTAATTCATAAGACACTTATGAATTAAAATGCTCCAAAACAACACAAGGACCCTCCTCTGGACTTCACTCTGCGTCTCTGGTCCGTCTGTTGTTGTTTTATATTTCAATCTCAGGATTATTGTAAAACAACAAACAAATGTGTTTTATGAAATTTATTTAAAATTGTACTACGGTTATAAAAAAGAAAAGTTTTCTTGTCACAGTGAAGGTTAGTTTTTATTTTATTTTACGGATGAGCCTCTTGCTGCAGACACGTAACAAGGAAATAAAAATAAATGAATCCAATCTGTGATCCCCCCTTAAACATTGTATTTACACTTTGAATATTCCACAAGGTTGATTGATATTAGTCAAACTAAAGGAAAAATATTATTTTTATTCATAAGCTTGGAATCTGTATTTGAAAATCTGAATATAGAGAGTAAATGATCAATTAACATAAAAAGTAGAAATATATGCCTCAAAAATATGGTGTAGAGGTATGGAGCAGAAAATGACTATTCAAGTCAGATACAAGTAGCTAAAAATAGTACTTTTTTTAAATTGAAAAAACAAATGACCAAATGAAAGAGACGTTGCAGACACACTGAACACAACAGTAGTGAGGAGCAACGGTATTCGTTAAATTGTTGCACTCCTGAAATATTTCAATATACATACACCACAGAGTTTTGTACCTTTACTTGATGTTTATAAATCAATGAGTCTCGATATTTACTTTAAACTACTAAAATCCAGTGAATGTCCCCTACGTCATCACATTGCGACCGCCAGGGCGAGATGCCGCTCCTCGGACCTGCAGCTGATTGGCGGAGAGGCCAGCGGACATGTGTTGACGTATGAACGCTCTGCGCCACCGTAGGACATTCACATCCGTAGGATAGCTGCACTCGTGCGCTCGTTTTAATATCTCCGCGCAGTTGTAGAGGCGGTGACGTCGTTGCAGCTCCGTCTGCGCGTGGTATTTATCAGTTGGCACTTCACTTCCTATAGCTCTACGTTGGGTCTGCACGTTTAAAGCGTTGCAATAAACACGTCCGTTGCAACAGCGCGGTAATCCGCCCACACGGGGTGCCCTGTGCATCCAAAAACAATTACCCATCTCTTGTGTTGCTATAGCTTCACATTATAGGGGGAAATGAACACTTTTCACCAAACCTAGTAGTCTTAGCTTCAGAATAAACCCCAAATTGTACTTAAAAGTACTTCAGATCAATCTACATTCTATACATATTCTGAAACTGGGTTGAAATAGTGTTTTGTTCCACGTTTTGTTTTGAAATTCCGACCGGATACGGTTTAGTTTCGCCTCCGTCCGTGCAACCCCACAGCCCGGTGGGAGGTCGCTGATCGTCTCACCTCTGTGTGACTCTCCGGTGTTTTGTCGGTGAACTGTCGCCACGTTTTCGTCGCCAGGCAGTCGGCACGGTGAACAGAGAAAAAGGTGAGTCCGACCCCCGAGCTGCGTCACGTGCGTCCAGTTATCGGTGATCGATTACTCGAGTTAACTGGCTGAGTATGAGCGACGTAGAGGGTCGAGCGGACCAGGAACCCACCCATGCGGCTGCATGTAGGTGAAGGACTCGCGGAGCACCACGAGCTGCACCGGACTCCATTCACATTCTCCCCGATTTAAGAGGCTCATTTGGTTTGTGCACGAGCTTACGTTACTGAATGGGCTCAACCGGTTCCAAACTACTTCTAAATGCCGGGGCACTTGAGTTACATAAGAAAGTCTGCCTGTGGAACTAATTACTGTCTTCATGAATGGTTCCCAACCTGGGGATCGGTAACCCCTCCAGGACGGAGGAATCTTAAAGGCTCAGTTGATGACTTCCACTTCTCTCTCCCGTGTTCCATTTATTTCACCTCCCAATAAGTGGTTGCCAGTTTGTTGCACAGCCTGCAAATTCACAAAAGGGGTTTTACAACAAACACTGTGTAGCCCCGCCCTAAAGCGTCCCCTGCTTTATGTCAGTTTGACTCTACATGGACCATGATCTACTAAATGAACATCATGCTGTATTGAAACTAGAGATTGAGACCATACACTTGTGTTTACAATGCTTACTAATGGTATAAATCAAGAGAGAAGTAGTCACTTTCTCATAGACTTCTATGGGACCAGAGGAGTCGCCCCCTGCTGGTCACACGAGGGAATACAAGCTTTAAAACACTTCAGCATCAGCTTCACTCTCTTCTGAACCGAAGGTTGGCGCCTTTGGTGAAACTGTCGCTTATGATATTTCATGGGTGAGTATCATCGTTTGGTCCAGTGCTCCAGATCCGATCACACCGTGGAGCCCACTCTAAAAACGTACGTAGTTACATTTTTAATTAAACAAATTGGATCGAGTCTTTGTGGTTGGCTATTTGTACCGCCTCCTCCGCTGTACTTTGATATCAGGCTAAATAGTGACTGTGACGAGCAAAACGTTTTATCCGTTTTAAACGTGTTCTCCGTTTGATCAGACAAACTGAGGTGTAATTGGACAGTTGTGTCCCATCAGTTTTCTTATAGTCGTTCACTACAATCGCAGCTCTTTCAACAGCAACCACTTAACCTCTGACTTGTGGATCATTCTCTGGCCTGACTGTTAAGTCTGACTAAGCTGGTTAAACATGAAATTCTGCAATTCTGGCAGGAATTAAAGACGTATGTTTAAACTCTAAACCTGCTGAGTGACTATGTGTCTCGGTCTCAAAGCAGCGTGCGGTGACGTCATGTACAGACTCCTCAGCCTCCAAGGAAGGAGGACGCCGAGCTGCCTCTCCAACCAGCGCCGCCATGAGCACCACCAGGCCGTCATGGCGATCCGCCGCGAGGACGTCAACCCCTGGGAGCGGAGGGCGCCGCTGGCCCCCAAACACGTCAAAGAGCTCACCACCGCCGGCGTCAAAGTCCTGCTGCAACCGTCCAACCGCAGAGCCATCCACGAGAAGGTGAGGAACCGGGGGGGCTACCGTCCCCATAGCAACAGTAGTAGTGTGTACCAGTGGATACAACTTAGAATTATTAAAAACATTGATAATACAGCGATATTATCACTATTTTATATATATTATATATAATTTTCCTTATTCTATATGCCAATACATCATAACTACGAACACTATACAGTACTCGTACAGTATATGTAATTGATGGTCCTGTTATAGTATAAATACATATGGTGTTATGTATTAATCATAGCACCAGATGTATGTGTAGTATTTGTCATTCCGACGTCCACTGTGTTCTAAGTAGCCTCTTACCGTGTTGTCAGGACTACATGAGGGCAGGCGCTGTCCTCCAGGAGGACCTGTCGGAGGCCTCTCTGATTCTCGGGGTGAAGAGGCCGCCGGAGGAGAAGGTCATTCCCAGGAAGACCTACGCCTTCTTCTCCCACACCATCAAGGCCCAGGAGCCCAACATGGGGCTTCTGGATGACCTGCTGAAGAAGGTGAGCGCGCTCTGAAAGGTCCAGCAGAAGCTGTTTGATGGTGGCCGGCTTGTGAGTAAATACATATACGTGGCGTAGGGTTTATCCTCTCTATGTTGGACCTCTGACTGTAAGTGGCCGTAGTCATTTACTAAGGGAATAAATCAAGAGAGTAGTCACTTTCTCACAGACTTCTATGGGACCAGAGGAGTCGCCCCCAGCTGAGAATGGAGCTTTAAAGCTGGCGATGTGATCACACATAATTAAACCAAAGACTATTACACTACAGCAGAATGAACCTTGTGTCCTCAGGAGGTCCGTCTGATTGACTACGAGAAGATGGTCGATGCCAACGGCTTCCGGATCGTAGCGTTCGGTCACTGGGCCGGCATCGCAGGTACCAAACCTCCTCAAAACCTAAATACCCCAATGCTCCAGGCTCACAGGGTTAATCGCAGTTAATCTATTTGTTTCTCCCTGGTGTTGTAGGAATGATTAACATCTTGCACGGGTTGGGGCTTCGCTTCCTGGCGCTTGGCCACCACACCCCCTTCATGGTAAGAGAACCGTTTGCATAAAGAGCGCATGAAGACCGCTTCCTGTTCTCACCGTGTCGTCTCCCTCTGCCGTCCACAGCACATCGGCATGGCGCACAACTACAGGAACGTCAGCCAGGCCATCCAGGCAGTGAGGGATTGTGGGTACGTGGTATCCATGGGGCTCATGCCCAAATCCATCGGCCCTGTGACGTTTTGTTTCACCGGCACCGGCAACGTGTCCAAGGTAAGACCGGCCTGCGGCTGGAAGCAGAGACCTAGTGGCAGCACTCAGGAGCTCCTCTTTCACTCTGTCTCCTTCTCGCCCCCCCGCAGGGCGCCCAGGACATCCTCAACGAGCTCCCTGTGGAGTATGTGGAGCCTCACGAGCTGAAGGACGTCTCCGAAACGGGAGGTAGGTCCTCCTCGTTAACGTCACGTGCAGCGAGGTCGCCATTGTTTCAGAGTTAACGGATATTACCATGGCAACTGCACACACACAAAAAAAACACAGAGGGCATTGATTTAATCTCATCCACAGAACAAGCAAAAACAATACTACTTATTGCTATTTAAATTAAACGGAAGTATCCTAACATAATGTTGTTTATTATAGACTGTTTATGTATTTATTATTGTTGTTGTTGTTTCCTGTGAGATATGACCAAAGTGTACGCCACCGTGCTGAGCCGCCACCACCACCTGATGAGGAAGAGCGACGGCATCTACGACCCCATGGAGTACGAGGACCACCCGGAGCTTTACACCTCCCACTTCAGGACCAGCGTAAGTCCCCGGACACAACCCTCCCGTCACCTCCACCTCCTCCCCGGACACAACTCTCCCGTCACCTCCACCTCCTCCCCGGGCACAACCCTCCCCGTCACCTCCACCTCCTCCCCGGACACAACTCTCCCGTCACCTCCTCCCCGGACACAACCCTCCTCGTCACCTCCACCTCCTCCCCGGACACAACTCTCCCGTCACCTCCACCTCCTCCCCGGACACAACTCTCCCGTCACCTCCACCTCCTCCCCGGGCACAACCCTCCCCGTCACCTCCACCTCCTCCCCGGACACAACTCTCCCGTCACCTCCACCTCCTCCCCGGACACAACTCTCCCGTCACCTCCTCCCCGGACACAACCCTCCTCGTCACCTCCACCTCCTCCCCGGACACAACTCTCCCGTCACCTCCACCTCCTCCCCGGACACAACTCTCCCGTCACCTCCACCTCCTCCCCGGGCACAACCCTCCCCGTCACCTCCACCTCCTCCCCGGGCACAACCCTCCCCGTCACCTCCACCTCCTCCCCGGACACAACCCTCCTCGTCACCTCCACCTCCTCCCCGGACACAACCCTCCCCGTCACCTCCACCTCCTCCCCGGACACAACCCTCCCCGTCACCTCCACCTCCTCCCCGGACACAACCCTCCCCGTCACCTCCACCTCCTCCCCGGACACAACCCTCCCCGTCACCTCCACCTCCTCCCCGGACACAACTCTCCCGTCACCTCCACCTCCTCCCCGGACACAACTCTCCCGTCACCCTCCACCTCCTCCCCGGACACAACCCTCCTCGTCACCTCCACCTCCTCCCCGGTCACAACCCTCCCCGTCACCTCCACCTCCTCCCCGGTCACAACCCTCCCCGTCACCTCCACCTCCTCCCCGGTCACAACTCTCCCGTCACCTCCACCTCCTCCCCGTCACAACCCTCCCCGTCACCTCCACCTCCTCCCCGGTCACAACCCTCCCCGTCACCTCCACCTCCTCTCCCGTCACTTCCACCTCCTCTCCCTCCACCTCCTCCCCAGACACAACCCTCCCCGTCACCTCCACCTCCTCCCCGGACACAACCGGTTACCCACACTCTTCTTCCCCCAACTGCTCCGGTCGGTCCCCTCACAGGCCTCTTTCTCTATTTTCAGTTTTTGGCGGTAAACAGCTGCTGGGTTGGCGTCATGGCCGATGTGACCCTAACATGAAAATTACTCAGCCATGTGGGAGGGGGGGGGGGTAATTTTATCCGTCCACGTTGTTTAAGCTGCGCTCACTTTTGGCCATTAAAATCCAACCAAACCAAAACTAAGCATAAAATTGTGATATTTCATCAAAAAGGTTTTTTATTCTACTTGTCTTGTTTACGCTGCGTCACACCAAAGCGAAGTGAATTTTAGCCACGCTTTACTTTCTCGACTAGTTGTAGTTATTTTTGCTTCATTCGCGCCTGAAAGGGGCCGTGGCTTGTCTCCGTAAAAAGAGTTATAATAATTTCCGCTATCACCACCATTTCTGCTCTTTATTTGTTGTGTGAATTACACAAACGCCGAAACAGCAAACTGTGTTGTGTTTGGGTTCATGACATCATCCGTCGCCGCACACAGCTTGAATTTCAGCGACTCCTCCAGGAAGTGCGTCTGGATGACTGCGGCTTCCAGCGCTGCTTCAGGCGGACCAGCAGCCGTGTCGTGTCGCCTCGGTGAAAATTGGCTTCCTCTGCGACCGTCTGTGCATTGACTGAATGGAATCTACTCGTGCGAATAATGTGCTTCGCTTTTGGTGTGAACACCGCATTAGAAAACATAAAATGTATAATTTATCAGTCACGTGACGACAATTCTGTCACAGCGCATTAAATCTCAGGTCTCATAAAGACGCACATGCTGAAATGTAGTCGTCCAAACCGATGCTTGAGCGAATGATCCCCCAAACGTCACCACACCTCTGTGCGACTTTTAGGGCATCCTGCAAACAAACAAATCCTTATAAAGCATGTAAATAACAGCGGTAGCTTTCCTGTGGCTCATCTCACTGACAGGTGGCGCCCTACACGACCTGTCTGATCAACGGTATTTACTGGGACCCCCAAACCCCTCGACTCCTCAGGCGACTGGACGCCCAGAAGCTGATGCGACCCAAGCCGTCGCTCACCGCCACCGAAGGGTCGCCGGCGCTTCCCCACAAGTAAGACGTCTTCCACTCGGGTGTAAAGAACCGTCGGCGGGAGGTTTCCTGCTGCTCACTGAAGCATAAAGCCGAGGAGAAAAGTCACGATGAAGGTCTTCAGAAGAGAATTATAGAACAATGTGTTACAGCATCAAAGGGATAAGCTGGGGCTCTTTCAGATGTTTGTGTGTTTAAATGTGCATATTTATGTATGTGTTTATCCATATAGTTTATATATATATATATAAATCACACACACATATATACAGACCGCAGGGTGGGAGCTGCTGTATCTCCATGGAGGTCAAAGGTCGCCTCCGTAGCTTCAGTCAGGTTTACAGAGGGACAGTGGAGTGCATCGCTGTGACCTCTGACCTCTCTGTCCACAGACTGCTGGCTATCTGCGACATATCGGCTGACACCGGGGGCTCCATAGACTTCATGAACGAGTGCACCACCATCGATAAGCCCTTCTGCATGTACGATGCCGACCAGCACATCGATCACGACAGGTACGCCGACCTCCCCTATCCATTTCATATATATATATATATATATATATATTACATATGAATAATTTCCTGCATATATCCTTACCTCTAAACACTGGTTAATCACACGGCGTTGATGCCCCCGCAGCGTGGAGGGCAACGGGATCCTCATGTGCTCCATCGACAACCTTCCCGCTCAGCTCCCCATCGGAGCCACGGAGTACTTCGGAGACCGGCTCTTCCCCTACCTCTGGGAGATGGTGAGAGACCCGCCGTTCGGTGTGAGCAGAGACCCGGGGGGGGGGGGGGGAACTTTTAAACATGCTTCTGTGTCATCATCAGCTGCCTTCGGATGGCACCAGGGCGCTGGACGAAGAGGACTTCAGCCCGCAAGTCAGAGACGTGAGTCGCTTATAAAAAACAAATAAGCACGTTTGAGCCCATTAGCGTACAGATGACTGCCGTTGACCTATGAACTGGAGTTTATATCTAAACATTTAATAAAGTTGAATGTTTGACAATGAGATGAAATTAGTTAACATTAACAGTTAACCCAAACCCAACATATTTTAGAAGCATATTTTTTTTCTCTGAATGTAAATAACATTGTTATCTATGTTGACACCAGGCGGCTTCCTCCAGTTCTGAAGAGTGAAGTCAGAGCTTCAAGTGTTAAAGCTGCATTCTCTGTGGTGACCACCAGGGGGCGACTCCTCTGGTCCCATAGAAGTCTATGGGAAAATTACTCTCTTCTCTCTTGATTTATTCCCTCAGTAAACAATGTAAACATGAGTTTATTGTCTCAATCCCTAGTTTCAAGTCTTCTTCAATTCAGCATGAGGTTAATTTAGTAGATTATGGTATATTTAGAGACAGACCATAAAGCAGGGGATGCTTTAGGGCGGGTCCTCCAGAGTGATTGACAGGTCTCTAAGAGACGTGTGCAACGTCTCTACATCCTCAGTCCACTTCCCGTTCACTGGTTTCACAAAAACACAACTTTGAGACTGGTTGTGTGGTTTTTAAACAATCGTCTGTTACCGTGGAAACACGTCACTCCTGGAAAGTTGTATCCGTCTGCATGACTGGAGTAATTTGATATAAAACGCATAAACCCAGTCAAAAATTCAAATAACTTTGCAGTTATAAACAAAAGGTGACCTCATTGTTTCTAATTAGTATTAACCCAGATATAAAAAGTGATCAGATTTTAAAAGCTGCAGCTGTCAAATTGGTTCGCTAAACGCAAACATGATCTTTACCTTCGACTACTGTAAAATTAAACCGCTTCTCTGCTGCATGAATCTCATCAACGTTTGATTATGCGCATAGACTTTGGGTGTAGTGTCACTTAAACAGGAAATACAAAAATATTCTTGGAGACTAGAGAAACTCATTGTCTAACTCATTTTATTTTACAAAACTCATTTTACTCTTTTATTAAATCAATAAAATCATTTCTTTGCTCCTGAAGGCTGTCATCACATCGAACGGAGTCCTCACGCCAAAGTTTGAATACATCGAAAAACTCAGAGAAAGAAGGTAAGACTTGTTTCAGCCTGCAGAGGAAAGTTTAATCGGTTTGGTCCAATCGGTGTTGATGATTAAATGTAGTGCTATTCCTATTGTTCTTGCACTATGTTGTCTATTGTCTTGTCTGATGTTATGCACCAACCATCCTTTTTTCATTCCGTCATTCTGCCTTGTTTAAACCAGAGGCATTATACTTCCTATACCGCTTATTGAGGAATCAGAAAGAAATGATGTTGCACGACCACAGCGACCTGTGCTTTGTACCTGGAGACCAGCTAACAAGAGAACACCTGGTGCCTAAGTGTGATCGGCTCATCGCGACTTAATCGCTTGCACGTTTGCTGAGCCAGGAGGAGAAGGGGGAGCTAAGTCAATCCAGGTGTACATAGCTGGGATAAGTGCACGTTCACAACTTTAAGTAGACCATGGTATCCATCACAGATTTACTGATGCAGAAAAGGCGCGCAGCAGATTTTTCACCCGCTGAGCAGCAACTAATTATGGAAATATGAATGCAAAAGGAAAAACGGCAGCTGTAATTAAACCGAGAAAAGGCCTGGCAGACAATCATGGAAGGATTTTAAAAATATCTACTAAGAAAGTTGTACACTGTTTTAATTGATTTTAATATGATTGTTTTGTGTTGGTTTTATTGCTGTTTTTGTGCTAAATGCGCTGGTTTTACTGTAAAGTGTCTTTGAGTAGCCTACCATGTAAAGCACTAAATAAATATAATGTAAGTGAGTAGAGGGAATTAATGTTCCTCTGGAAATTTACCCCAAAGGCCCTTTTCAAACCCTTATTCACAATGCCAGAATATGTTTTACAACCATATCCACAAATCTCTAAACTGTGTCTAATTCTAAATATCTTTCTACAATTAATGTTCATGCAAAACAAACATGACTGGACCAAAAAGATCCTGGCAACAGGTCAAGAGGTCAACCAGATAAATTATAAAAACATTTTGCAGGCTGGTTTGCAAATGATATGTAGAAATTACCTACAAGATGCCTGCTCACACATTTTATCTAAACTATAATTCATGTTACCTGCAATCATGTGGAAATCCTCTTTGATGTAACACATTCTGTGGCCAGAGAAGGTAATAAGGATGTGTGCCACGGACTTTAGTGCCACACACTTCTGACAGTACGGCAAATAGTGCCTTTATTTCCAGTTTCGGCGTCTCTGCAAAAAAGCGCAGTGCATCTGTGGGATGGTGAGATGCTTCGCGCTGTGGGTCTGATCGGCCCACAAACACCCTCTCACGTCTGAAAGCACGTCTCAATATCAGTGCTTCTTCATCCAAAACGTGGTTCGGGAATAGGCATCATGGTGCAGGAAGAACACAGGTGAATGGGACTTTGTATATCGCCCTCAACTGTTAAACATGTTGATGTCAGATCAGAGCGGCAGCTGATTTAACACATGAGACTCCAAGTCAAAGCTAAATTCATCCAGGATAACTTGAATATCTTAATCCCTTATCCTGGTTTCGTGCAATAGCCCTCTGGTCTGAAGGTTATTAGGCGGTTCGGTTCAGGCATTCATGCTCCCCCGAGGATGAATGATTTGTTTGTGCTGCTTAGCTTGGCTCAGTCGTCGACAAGCCTGATTGTAAGAATTGAGTAAAAGGTCTACTTCATCAGCTGATGCAAAGCCCAAGCCGGCTGAATTGATGACATGTGACCACAGCTTACATTTGTTTCTGTTGGAAACATTGACAGGGGATTAAAACATGTCACTCCATGCTTAAATGCAAAATGGGAATCATTAACAACCCAAGCGTTTGTTGTCTTATTGCACCAATGATTTCTCCTATTCAGATGGCTCTATGTAGCAGTCTCCAGTGTTTTTGCTAAGCTAGGCTAAACTTGTTTTGTTTTGAGATGAAACTGATCATCTCTTCTGACTTTGAATAAGACATAAAACAAAGTCCATCCGCATGTTTGTTTACTGGAAATCGCCATTCTGTTCCCTTTTTTTAAATTTTTTCATCTTAATTTCTCAATTGATTACACATTTTAGCGTATTTTTACCTCGCCGCTTATCTGCAGCTTCAGTTAATGTCACTGATAAAGAAATGCATTTAAATGAGCTGGTCAAATATAATCCGATAACTCTTAATAATGTTTGTTTCTTGAGATGATTAACATTCAGGTTCTTGAGACTCGCGCTATATGTAGGCCGCCTCTAAGACCTGATGGGTTTTCTTCCTAATTGATCTTAAGTATAATTTTTCCAGACAAGCCATGCCACCAAATCTTAATCCTGTTGATTGAGTTTGGCTCCTTAAGATATGTAAACGCAGGCAGCAATCCTCCTGAGGGAACGGCCCTCTTCTTCTTTGTTTTTAATTAAGGCGATGAGGTTCGGCGCCGGGCGGACCGCCGGTCAGACCTTCAGCCGCGCTCCTCGCCGCACCCCGTGCATGTGTGCGGTGTCACGTTCAATTAGACAAGAGCTAAGGAGTCGAGGGATCTGACTCCAGAGGGGGGGTGGAGGCGGTTGGTGGTGGGATATTAATGCCACAGGTCACTCGGGGTGATGCCTCCATTATGGTGTTGTTTTTATGGTGTTTAAGATAATCCAGCATGCAGAATCAGACTTTTTACATTTAAATCAAGGAGTGTTTGTAAGAAGGCCTCTTGGTTTAATTAAGAGACCGAGATGCTTCCACTGTGGACTTACGCAGCTTCCATTGTCGCCGTGGTTACGTACTATGGACACATTGGAGCTGAACAAGCGGGCAGAAAACATTAATTAATCATGTAATTATAAAGTTTGACACTTTAGGAAAAATAAGAGCAAAAACATTTTCTAATTGAAATAAACCCAATCCAAATGTACTATCATTTATATTTTAGTACTTTAAGGTAACTCATTTCCCCCTGCTTAAATAAATAATGAAATACCCGAATATTCAAATTGATATTAATAAAGTAGAATCTCATTATTTTACCTCACTTACAAATGTCTATTGTTTATTGTTTAGCTATACATACATTTTTAATTATAATCTTAATATTTAATGTCAATAAGACTAACAATAATAATATATATCAACAATAACACCTTCATAACACAAATAAGCAATGCATGTTTGTTTATTTTTTTTGATCACAGCCTCATGGTTCTCTGATAGTGATAATGTTTTAATTCATTCCCACTTTGATGTAAGAAACACCTGTTAGATCAGTGATTCTTTCGAAAACTTTGGGGGAATTAGATTCTTCTGTAATTAAACAAAAGGGGTACAATATTAAAAACAAATATTTTCAACTGATTTTTGATAATGTGTTTCATACTAAACCGATGAACCAAAACCAATTACTTTATTTTTCTTAGTTGTGCAACCTAATTGTTTTCTTTATTTATTCATTTTTTAATGTACCTGCTTTTTCCACATATATCTATAGATATATGAACTATTACAGGATTGTATCATTATTTCTTGAATTAAAATCACAACTTTCTTTGTGCAGTTTCCATCTTCGAAAGCTCACGTTCATCCCAGTTTAGTGAATCTTAAAATTCTTCTGAAGTTGGTCTCAGGCGGATCTCAGTGGGTGTGGTCTAACGTGGGTGTGGTCTAATGTGGGTGTGGTCTAATGTCCTCCAGAGAGAAGGCGCAGATCATGAAGAAGTCTGGCATGAAGCGCGTCCTGCTGCTGGGCTCCGGTTACGTCTCCGGACCTATCGTGGAGTATCTGACCCGCGACGAGAAGACCCAGGTCACCGTGGGTGGGTTCGCCTCGCAGGCCCCTCTGCAGTACAAATACACATATTATAAACACGTATGTGAGGACATGGTCCCAGTCCAAGTCTGCTCCCGTGTAGAACTTCACCTGATGGTTTCAGCTTGTTCTAATTCAACATACCTGTACTTTAGACTACTTAAACTACATCTCACAGGCACATATTGTACTTTTTACTGTACTACATCTCAGAGGCACATATTGTACTTTTTACTGTACTACATCTCAGAGGCACATATTGTACTTTTTACTGTACTACATCTCAGAGGCACATATTGTACTTCTTACTCGTTACATGAATTAATTCCTTTTACCTTTCCCCCTCATAATCCTTCTTAATTCATTGGTTTATTACCATTTTTATCCTCAGCTATACAACCACTGTTGCTTTCTCATGAATGCAGGGCAGTAAAAAATGTTTTGCTTTCCGAAGTAGAAGTTTAAAGTGTGTTTTCTTCCCTCAGCGTCGGTGATGCTGAAACAAGCAGAGGAGCTGGCAGCCAAATATCCAAACACCATCCCCATCATGCTGGACGTGGGCAGCCAGGAGGGACACTTGGACTCTCTGATCAAAGACCACGACCTGGTCATCAGGTATGCCATGGAGACATGTAGTGTGCCTGCTGTAATGAATGGACTACTAGCAAACTACCAGTATTTACTAGCAGAGGCTCCGCTCACTTTAACCAAAGAAAGATTCTTTTTAAAAGGTCCTCCAGAGACGGACGTTTCAAATCAGAATTGGCTTTATGATCCTATTGTATCCGTCCGTATCAAATTAAAAGCACCAGTTAACTTCCACTTCTTTCGCCAATGGGTGACGTGTGCTCCTCAGCATGCTGCCCTACACTCTCCACCCTCTCATCGCCACGCACTGCATCCGGAGGAAGGTCAACATGGTGACCGCCAGCTACCTGAGTCCAGCCATGAAGGAGCTGCAGAGCAGGTGATCGCACACCATTGATTTACACTCCCACCGATGTCATTTGATGCAGTAAGATGACTCCTTTAGATTAACAGGAGCCATGTCTGATATTTCACATAAATGTTGGATTAACTTTTCACCGGCAACACCATTTTTTCCCCCCCAAAAGACGGCATTTAAAACGAGTTAATGTGTTTCTGTGTGTGCGTTACAGTGCGGAGGAGGCCGGCGTCACCATAGTCAACGAAATGGGACTGGACCCGGGGATCGATCACATGCTGGCCATGGAGTGCATCGACAAGGCCAAAGCCGACGGCTGCACCGTGAGTTTGCACAAATGAATGAATGAACCTTTCCTCCCACTACCGTTAGGATGCTGCACATTTTAGCAGTTGGTTTGAGATAAACGGCTGTAATTCTTCAGATGCGTTTAAACCACTGGAGAAAAAGAAAACGTTCTCATGCTGTAACTGATGACCGTCTGGCCTTTTTAAAACGCGTAAAAGCAGGAAGTTGTGAATCGCTGTTCCAGGTGGAGTCCTACAGCTCCTTCTGCGGCGGTCTTCCCGCCCCCGAATGTTCCGACAACCCTCTCCGCTACAAGTTCAGCTGGAGCCCGTACGGCGTCCTGCTCAACACCATCAGCCCCGCCGTCTTCCTCCGGGACAACCAGGTACGGAGGGTGGGGGGTCCACCTTTTTGGTTGTGGGAGACTTTTACTGGCGCGTTAATGTGTGCGTGCGTGTCGCCTCAGGTGGTGAGCATCCCGGCTGGCGGCGCCCTGATGGAGTCGAGCACGCCGATGGATTTCTTCCCCGGTTTCAACCTGGAAGGATTTCCAAACCGCGACAGCACCAAGTACGCCGAGTCCTACGGCATCCAGACGGCACACACGCTGATCAGAGGAACGCTGCGCTTCAAGGTGCGACACACACACAACACACACACACACACACACACACGGACACAAAGGGAACTCCAGCATCACCACACCTGGAGCTACGTGGTTTTACCTTGACAAGAAGGAGATGAAAGCCCTCTGAGAGGCAGCTGAAGCTGTGAGACGTGTGTGGTGTCCCTGTGAATGTCTTCATTGTGAGTCTTTGTCCCACAGGGCTTCTCGAAGGCCATGAGCGGGTTTGTCAAACTGGGTCTGATCAACAGCGAGGCCTGTCCCATCCTGAAGCCCACTTCGGCCCCCGTCTCCTGGGTAAGGACCTCCGCCCAGGTGTCTCCTGACGGCGGTGCAGGGTTCAGAATACACGTAGCGTGTCTGTGGAAGTGCTGAAGAATTGAATTACAGTCAATGGCTGCTCGCACTATCGTTGTTTCTGTAAGCGAGATGCAGAGATGAGTAGAAAAAATACATTTTCCCCGAAGCTTCGTTAAGCTATTTCTGAAAGATACTACTGACCGTGTGCCGTGTGAAATGACATGTAATGTAAAGAGTAGGGTCGGGTGCCGTATTGGTACAGTGCTTTACAAAGCCTCTGTGATGTCCTCTCCTCTCGACAGAAAGCGCTGCTCTGTAAGCAGATGGGATTGTCCTCTTCTATTTCCCACGATGACTTTGAAGAAGCTGTGTTTGAACGCATCGGGAAGGACGACTTTGTGATGGACACCCTGAGATGGTGAGACTCGGCCTTTAGCCCTTAGTTATGCCGACTGAGCACAACAATGTGTGAATCTGGCTTCTCGTCCGATGCTCTTCAGCGTTGGCGTCGGTGCTGTGGAATGGCGTTCTGAGAACAAGGCCGCTCCTCTTCTGCACCCCCACACAACCCTTTTACTTTATTTTGAATGAAAACGCCTGAAGTGGTGTCGCGCAACAATACTTCACTTTAAACCAACTTTTTCCAAAAGTCTCTTCAGACCAAGGCCCCGTGCCGCCATTGTCCCCGGCGGTACGAGGGCCTCGTGAATTCCTCCGACGATAAGTGAAGCGTTGGAAACATTCCACTCTGCGCGGGTTAAAAAAAGGAAGAAAAAAAAAGAGTAAAAAGCCAAATGAAGCTCGAGGCTCAAATTGAATGACTTGTTGTTTATTCATTTATTCAATTTGCCAGCAGAGCGGCTGCTCATCTCTTTAGATTTAGCCCAAGGATGTGTGGGCCGCTGCCGCCGCCGCCGCGGTGTTAAAGAAGAGTCTTTTCTTCTTTTCAACCCTTCTGAAACAGTTTAGTGAAGGTTCTTTTTTTGTGTTGGGAAAAAGTCACTCTCCTTTTTTTCCTTTCTTTTTGTCTCCGTGTGCTCAGGTTCGGGATGCTGAGTGACGAGTCGGTGGTTCAAGCCGACAGCGTTCTGGCCGCTCTGGCGAAACACCTGGAGGCGAACCTTTCCTTCGGTGAGTCGCGCTTTATTACCAGGGCACCTTTTTTAAAAGACGACATCACAAGTACTTCTCTTCATTGGCTCCCTGTTCATTTCCAATGTTTAAAAAACATTTTTTTTTACAGTTTTAAATATATAGCAGGAACGTTGTCCCCTTATAATTCCTGTGTGGGGGGGGGGTCTTCTAGGGGTTATGTTGCTACATAAATAAGGTTACTATTGTTAATAAAGAACGGTACATGACCAACTATTGGCTTTTATCCCTCGGTCAGACAAGTCCGAGCGAGACATGATCATCATGAGGAACGACATTGGGCTTCGCCACCCAACCGGTGAGCTGGAGACCAAACACATCAGCCTGGCGGTGTACGGCGACCCCAGCGGCTTCTCCGCCATGGCCAAAACCGTGGGTTACCCAGCAGCCATTGCTGCCCGCATGGTCCTCGATGGTCAGTGACGTCCGTCTGGACGATTGTACCCGTCGCGAGAATGAACTAAAAAGAACGTTTAAAAACGTAACTGCACACCCCCCCCCCCCCCCTTTTTTTAATTTTTATTTTTATTTTTACAGGCGAAATCACCACAAAGGGACTTGTGGTTCCGATGACGAAGGATATCTACGGGCCGGCGTTGGCCTGCCTGAAGGAGGAAGGCCTTCACTTCATGTCCAAGAGCACCCTGCAGGAGTAAAAGCCGAGCCTACCGGGGGGGGGGGGGGGGCTGTCAATAATGTTCAAGAAACCTAAAAAAAAACACGCGCCATCAAATGACCTCGTCAGCGACTTTATCCAAACCGGATTGGCTCAAAAAGGTGAAGGGGAAAAGGTCTAAAAGAAATAAATATAATTTAGGGAAGTTTTTTGTCAGAAGCTGCAAAGGGAAGAGGTTCGGATAATGTTCATTAATCTCAGTAAAGTTAGCTTCGCGGACCGACTGGACAAACTAACGTTGGCTTGAGTGTTTTTTAAGGGTGAATTCTGTATTTTTGGACCGGAAGTTACCCAGTTTGTAGTATTTATTGTGTGCCGCCTTTAGCTATATTTCTTTTTTGGTGGGGAGGGGGGGTCGCCGCCTTGTAAACGGTTTGTTACATGCTTTAAACAAATACCCAGAGAGAAATATAGTACCTGAGATATATTTTTAAAAGCATGTGTGTACTTTATATGTGGGCCTCCAGAAGGAAGTTGGATTTCTATGTTTGGATCTGAACACAAACTACACATTTTGCGGGTTAAAGAGAAAAACACTAACATGTTTAGTGTTTAAAGTAGATGTTTTATTAAACATCTACTTTAAACATTTTGTCCTTAATGTTTCAGTTGACATTCATACTATTCCTGATTACAAAACTCATTTGTGTGTAAAAACTTGCTTTGATAAAACATTTTGCTGTCGAAATGTAAAAAAGTTACATGAATAGAACTTTTAAGGTTCTTTCTCCTTTAATGGTTTACACACGGAGAGGCTAACTGCAAGTGGAATTATTTGGATTTACACTGTAGTTTAATTGTGAATCTATTTTTAATACTACAGCTGCTTCAATTTATTAATTCTAATGAACACAGGCTCCATACGTCCATGACTGCACTCAAATAAAGTGGAATGTTTCTTTAGTACGGTATTATTAGTAGGAACCAGTTATGTCATGTTTATTGGTTTGGCTTGGTTACTTCAAATTGATCATTTGTACACAAACTGTTGATTAAGCCAATAAACATTCGATCCAACGTACATTTTGCTCACTATACTCTTGTGCTTCTACTTAAGTACAAAACTTTCCCTTTCTAATGTAAAACATTCTGCGTTAGTATTTTACTTGTCTTGGATAAAACCCTTTCTTCACCATTGTCAGATTTAGACAATGGTGAAATATTTGGTTAACCAGACTCTGGACTCGGGACTCTGTTCTGGAGCCTGGAGAAGAAAAGACAAGCAGCCTGTTTGCTTGGACTCAATGTGGAGGCAACCATGCAAACTAGGCCACCAAGCCGGGGATAATTGGTCGTGTAATTATGAGAAGTCAAAAATGCAAATGAAGGTGTGGATACGGCGGCCGGTCAAGACGACGTCTGGGACACTTGACCTATTTTCCGTCCTAAAAAGACGCGTTTCTTGCATCTTGAGTCTTAACCCGGATTAACACTCAAATTCAATTGGAAAAACCAGTTCAGCGCCGGGATTAAAGCATGACTCCATAAAGGGAAAATGTATAATCCATAGGACGAACAACACTTGGTTTTCATCAGAACCACATTTTGATTTCATCTATTTTTGTGTTTGTTTCTTTAACACCTCTTTCAGATGTCTGCCTCATCTTTTGTCTTGCCGCTGTGACCTTTGATCTCCTTCCTGTTGGTAGACTGAGGCCCCTTCTGCTGAGTCCAGAAATGTAAATTTAAGTAACCGGATTTTTCAGACACATTTGATTGAGTCTTTCTCCTCCGGCTTGAAGGGGAATCTTACTTTTTGTTTTTACTGTGATGCAAAAAATCCTGTTAGCTCATAGTTAGCTACCGTTGTTACATTTCCTTGTGGATGTTCGTGGTCCCCACAGGCTGAGCCCTAATATCTTTGTTGATGCCATATTTTATTGGTGTGTTTTTCACAATAACAGAGTGCACTATTTGTGTGTTGGTGTGTTGTAGTTATGCACAGAGCAACAAAAATACTCAAATACTCCTTCTAGGTGTGTTCTTTCACTTATTTAATCCTCTAACTAATAATCCAGCAGTGTGTTTTCATGTCCAGCTAAAAGACAAATGTCAGTACCCCATGCATCGCATTTAGTCGGTTACAAAACCCAGAATATAAAAGCATTAATGTTCTCCAACTAAGCAATTAAAATGAAACACTTGAATGCGCTACAAATGGTAAAATATAAAAACCTAAAAGTATAAATAGAAATTTGGTCCATCGAGTTGATTACTATAATATTATTTACATAAGATTATTATTTGTATTATTCAAGGCCCTTTTTATATTTGACTGCTGTTACTGTTGGTATTTACAGAAGCCCTACAAAAGACAAGATAACAAAATATCTTATTTGATGTAAAAAGATTGAGGTTTCCCTTTTTTCTCCCACCCCTCATTTGGCTCAGTGCCAATAAATACAAAGGTTCAGGAATAGTTGGTAGAAAGGTCTCGGGCCGGTACACGTTAAACAGTTAGTCTACAGCGCGTATCAAAGTTAGAAGTACACAATGAAAAATACGAAAAGGCACACGTTACAAAACAGCATCCAGCAAAGAAGAAAGTGTTGGGATGCAGGAGTCAGACAGACAGAGTCCTCCTGGATGCTGGGACGGGGACGGGGGAGGGAGGGAGGGGGTGTAGATGTATATGAAGTGGAGGGACTGAAGGCTGTTGCCCTTTTTTTTTCCTTTTTTAAGTTCTTTGTGGGGGGGTTACACCAGGGATTCAAGGCTCTCTGCAGTGCTGGCGGTTCCCACTACGATGGTCCCGTTGACGTCGGAGGACTGGAGGGTTTCCTCATCTTCTTGCGTCCCGATGAGACTCAGCATGGCTCTGTACAGGAACTGGTACTGCTCCTGTAAACGATGCCTTTATGTCACGTTCACATCCTGTTAGATGTACCTCTACCACATTAAGTTGGTTTCTTTCCAAACCAATCCTGCCAGCTGTTAACTTGGCAAATACAATGTTGTAACATGAACGCAGCGTGACAGACATGACATCATCAACGTCGCGTCTGTCACGCTGCGCTCATGTTAGCCCCGTACGACGCGGGGGATATTTTCATAGTCGTTGGCCTCACGATGTCGCTGAAGACTCCCGGCCTCATCAGGTTCGTCAGCTTGGCCACTTGGAAGACGTCCACCGAGCCCTCGGCGTCCAGCTGACGCGTCAGAGACGTCAGAGCGCAGAACGTCCCCGCCGTGGCTCCGCCCACACTGGAAGAAGAGAACTTTCCCCGTGAGAAGGCCTCGTTGAGAACAACCAATCCCTGGAACGTGGTCGTGGTCTTACTCGTCGTGGACCACGATGGGGCCGTCCTTGCCGTCGCTCTCCTCTTTCACCAGGTTGAGGAGCTCGAAGGTGTTGCTGATGGGGCTGTCTGGATTGGGCCAGCGGGGGGGGGCCCGGAAGTGTTTCACATCCAGAACGTAGTCATCCTGTTGAGATGAGAACCAATCAGGAGGTTTAAAACTATTTGTCCCGTGGCCCTTTATTTTTTTTTATTGAGCTATAATTAATCTTATTTACAATATGAATCGCAAATGATACACAATTGATCTTATCTTCTTGTTCAAGTGAAGCCACACTAAGACACAGCTTCTAATGGTCCCTTATTTATATGTCTTAATCATTGATATTGTTCATCTAACCCCTTCCCTCTTTTATTGTAAAATAGGATGTTCTTTGCCAAGAAATGTGTCATGTGAGAAGGGCTGATAAAGGGAATCCTATGTCATTTAAAAGTCACTTAACTATGTATAAATATATATTAAAAACTCATAAAAAAGGCATTAAATAGCAGTACAGTACGATTGAAAATAGGAAAAATATATATTGTTTTTCTTTTTAAGTCACATAAAGTATATTATGTGGAAAAAGGTCATACAAGAGTCATAGTAGCCTATAGATGTTCAAGGTGGCTCTCACCTGTGTAGCTTGCAGCACGTAGTCCTGGACCACCAGCATGTCCTCGTTGGTCAGGCACACGAGGTTCTCACTCCTCTGGCTGACCGTGAACATCTCGTAGCTGATTGGCTGCCCTTTGCAAGGCCAGACAGCGCACATATCCGCCTCCTCCTAAAAACATACACGACACTCCAATACAAATCTGTAACCACGCCGACACGTCATCTTCTGACAAAGAGCTGCTCCTGCTGTGTGACCTCTCCGGTTGGTTATCAAGTGAGACCAGGTGCAAAGAATAAGCTGACTCCACTTGTTTAAAAGTTACGGTGTGTCGAATTTAGGGAGACCATAAGATGCATGAGATGTAATACGATATGATTAAGTAGATTTTAATTTGCACATAATTACCTGCAAATACGAATTGTTACACTATATGAATAATATCAATAAGCAATGACACTAGAGAGAAGTAGTCGTTTTCTTTATACACTTCTATGGGACCAGAGGAGTCGCCCCCTGGTGGCCACTACAGAGAAGTAGTCATTTTTTCATAGACTTCTTTGGTACCAGAGGAGAATGCAAGGACTTTAAGCAGTGGGAAGCAGCCTAGCTCTGATCAAAGTTATGGATATGCAAAAGAAGACAGTCCATCCATCCATTGTCAAAACGCTTATCCTGCACACAGGGTCGCGGGGGGGCTGGAGTCCATCCCAGCCAACTTCGGGCGATAGACAGGATACATCCTGGATTGGTCGCCAGCCAATCGCAGGGCAACACAGAGACACACAACCATTCACACTCACATTCACACAACTACGGGCAATTTAAAGTCCCCAATTAACCTGATCCCCAGAGCATGTCTTTGGACTGTGGGAGGAAGCCGGAGAACCCGGAGAGAACCCACGCAGACACGGGGAGAACATGCAGACTCCACACAGAAAGGCCACTGGGTGGAATCGAACCCAGGACCTTCTTGCTGTGAGGCGACAGTGCTAACCACCACACCACCGTGCCGCCCCAAAAGAAGACAGTTCTTCCCAAAAAATGTTTGACATTTTTGCACAGATTACTATAATTACAAAATGCCAATTAGTGAGCTTAATGGGCTCATTTGTTAACTTTGGACAGAGCTGGGCTAGCTATTTTCATGCTAACCCCTCCCTGGCTCCAGCTCTGTATTTAACACACAAACATGAGCTCGACTGAGCATCTCTGAACCTAAACAACGGGTATTTCCCAAAATGTTAAAAGAATACAGACTTTGCAGTCCTCACCTCGCCAGAGCCCGTCAGCGACACGATGACCTGGCTGTTGTGGTCCCATATCATCCTCCAGAAGTCCTTTATGGTGTCGGGCAAAGGGTTCTGGGTAATGATGAACTCGCTGCTCTGCTTGTAACCCTGCAGGAACAGAACCCGGGCTTAATATCAACAACTGAAATCTCGTTATGATCCATCTACAAACTCTTTTGTTAATCCACACATAAATAACTGTGTGGCTCACTGCTGGCATCTTTTACTATGTGTAAAAAGGACACGTCTATCGCACTCTGTCCATCCCGATAGAGGGTTGTTATACATCATTTATTACACCCCCCCCTGACGTTTCTTCCTCTTTCCTGTTCCGATAGAAGCGTCACAGCTGGACCGACTCACAGGGAGAGAGAAGCACTTTGTTCTTACTGAGATGTACGATGCGTTAATGTAGTCGCAGGTTTCCCCCGCCGCCGTGGACAGGCGCACTCGAGACCTCTCGACTGCAGAGACAGAAAGAGAACGTGTCCATGTCCAGTTTCAACACGTCCCCAACCAGTAACCCCCCCCCCCCCCAACCACGGCAGGTCGCCCTGCAGGAGGCTGCAGCTCACCTGGGAGCGCCGAGTCGCTGCGGTTCTTCGTGCGGTTGCAGTCCTGCAGCGCTGCAGAGGAGTCGCACTGCCCCCCAACGGGGAGACACACCAGCTGTGGAGGAAACACACCAAAGATCTGTTTCCACACAGTCTGTGCAAAGTGCTCGGAAAATAATCCTTGACTAAGTGTGAACAATTAGAAACAGGAAAAGTACATCAGTCAGTCGTTTCTGAATGTTAAAGCCTTCATCTGTAACGCCGAAAATAAGAAATACTTTCCTTTCAAGTTGTTGTAGAGTGTCCCAATTATTTCACCCTTCACTAAAATAACCTCCACTTGTTATTCTAAATGTAAACCCTAAATCACATTTAAATCACAATATGAAGCATCGGGGAGAAGCTTTGGGTTCATTATTTAAATAAACTATTATCTAAATATAGCTACTCAGTATGTTGGGGGTCTATTTGTTTACTTCATGTCAATATTTTTTTAGCTTATATTTTAAATGAATTTAAAATATGAGTTTTCATTTCTGATATTATAACTATTCAATATTTATTTGTTTTAGGAGATTTTAGGGCAGGCACTTTCAGAGACATTTCAGAGACAAGTTGAATTAAAAATGTATCATCCTTTCGAAATGGTTCCTGTTTAGAAATCGATCGTCTTTCAAACACTGCAGGTTTGGTGTAGACGGATTTTAAACAAACGGAAACAATGAAGGAAAGAAGCAGAACAACCATCAACATGTCTCAGATAGCTGTAGCGTTACACAGAACAAGTCCATACAGATAAGCACATGGTGCACCTTTCACTGCTCACCTTGAACTGTTTATCCAGGCGTGTCCTCCCAGCATGCACCGGGGTCAGCAGCTCGTCCACGTACCTGTGCAGCTGAGCCGCCGCCACCTCCGTCTCCCTCGACAGGATCGCCTCCACCAAAGCGTCGTGGATAAAAATGTACTGTTCCTGCAGAGGAGGGACGGAGAGCGCCATGGTTAGACCGTTAGGGCGCATCCTCTGGGGACCATGACTGTCTTGATGAAATATCATGGCTATAAAGTTGTTAAGAGATCCCCTTAAACCATGAATTTGAAGCTTGTGGAGGCAGTAAGGTAAAAGTCCAGGGATCAACAAGCTCCATAACATAGATCATCTGGGGAACATGAATGACTGTAGAAATAATCAAGCATGTCTTCCAATAGTTGTTGAGATATTTCACCAAAAACCACTTATGTGAATCTCATGAAAGGCGCTCCGGGAAAAGTCATAGGATCCTCAAAGTGATGAGGTTACATCCTCTGGAAACACCGAATGTCTGTACAGACGTGACAACGGAAGAGAGGCGGATGTAGCAGAGCTTCACTGTGTATTTGGGCTAGCAATGATTTGGTGCCTGGCTGCAAAAGGCAGACCGGTAAAGCTGAAAGTTAAGAAGTGCATTTATGTGTGAGGGGCAGACGGACATGTTGACCTCTGACCTCGGTCTGGACCAGGTTGTTCCTCTGTGTGCGGATGTGTTTGAGGAAGCCAGTGATGTTGACGGTGCCCTCCTCCCTTATCTGCTTCAGCATGCTGTCCAGGACCACGTACGTGCCCGTCCGGCCTACGCCGGCGCTGCACGGCAACGAGAGGGAGGGGCCAAGATAAGTCAAGGATCTACTGGCGGCGTCTCTCGCCGTTTAAAAAAAAAAAAAATCTGATCTTACCTGCAGTGCACCACCACAGGCCCCGCCTCCTCCCCCCCGGCTTTGGACGACTTGCAGACAAAGCTGAGCAGCGGCAGAGCGAGCTCCGGGACACCCATGTCGGGCCACTGGGTGTAATGGTACTGGGTCACAGTCCGCTCGTTGGTCCGCCCCTTCTGGGAGCCCTACAGGTGGACAAACAGGAAGTGACTGAAATAAAATGTTGGGTGCAGCAGGGACAATCATTTTCAACGTGGACATGTAGAAGAGATAACACTGTCAGTTTGACAATTTATTTGAGATTTGTTTGTTGTATAAAACTGTGAATTTATAAACCATAGAAATGTCATCGCTAAAAAACAACAAAGAATTGTTTTTTAGCGATGACATTTTTTTTGTCAAATGTAATGATATTTAAAATGATTATTATTTTACTTTGAGCTTTTTACAGAATAATTAAAATGCAACGTCAATGTCTTGTTTTGTCTGCAGCTTCAAACATATTCGGTTTAGTGTCAAGAAACCAGACAATATCCTCATTTAAGAACCCGTATTCACATCATTTGTTTAAAAAGTTCCTTAAACCGCTAAAAGGTATGGATTCTTTCAAACTACTCGATTGGCCTAGTTTGGACCTGATCTGCCGAGGAGGGGGGGTCTGACCTTCTTGGCGTTGGTGTTCCTCACGGAGAAGGTCCTCTGGGTGTAGTAGGCGAGTACTCTGCTGCTCTTCACCGTCACCAGGAAGCTGCCAAACTCCTCCTGCACCTCTGCCGGCCAGTACTGGTCACACTTCCTCTGAGGGGGGGGGGGGGGGGGGGGGGCAGTGAACACGTCCAACGTTACAGGGTGTGATCAATACATCCTTTAACACATGTTACCAGCACATATCCACAGTTCACTTGACTCAGATGATCTGTGGAGGACAATAAGTGAGTAAAGACGGGCTCGCTCACTCTTCCTTTCTCCACCAGGTTGGTGATCATAACAATGACGCAGACATTTTGCTCCCAGATCATCCTCCAGAAGTCCTCGATGCTCGTTTTCAGGGGACCCTGAGCGGCAATGTATGACCGCGGCTTCTTAAAACCCTGAGGATACATAATATAGAACATATAACTACAAAAAACGCATTGTAAAAATTCTCCAACATAAAACCCAGCTGGGTGTTAGCGCTAGTGTAGCGTTCTCGTGATTCAACATCGAGTTAAACCCAGGTAATGAAGACATTAGGTCTTGTAGGTTTGACCTTTTACTTTTCTTTTATCACCATGCTGGTGAAAACTGCAAATAAAGACAACACACAAACGTTCAGAGTCCCAAATAAGACATTTTACAGCATAAGCTACATAGTCCAAAGAAGCCCACTCACACAATTGCAAACAGATCCAACCGCAGCCAGAACATGTATCAGAACATCCACAGCAAACACAATATTTAACAATATACTCACAGCATCGCCTCTACGATGCTTCGTAGTGGATGCAAGCAGACCTCTCTCTCGAGCACATGTGATTCTTGGCTTTTTGTACTGACACCAATTACCAAACCGGAGCACAGAAAAGTTTTGTTTTGAAAATAAAATCAGAGAATGCCCTAATGTTGTTGTCTTCTATTAGGTGTTCTGAATATAAGAAGTGGACGACATGAAGTCAATCCGTTCGTTTGTGGACGGAGGTTTAAAGCCTCGAGTTGTGCAATCGTGCCGTCGCCACCTCATCTTCAAATTGTTCTGTTTGACTCTAAATGGACCATAATTTACTAAATGAACATCATGTTGTACTGAAGAAGACTGGAAACTAGAGATTGAGACCATGGACTTGTGTACAATGTTTGCTAAGGGAATAAATCAAAGGGAGAAGTAGAGTCCTTTTCTCCCCTCCGGGCTCGACATGGCGCAGGGGTAGAGACGGTTGGCGGTTTGAGGCCCGTCTGCCCCATGTCAAAGTGTCCCTGAGCAAGACACCTAGCCCCTAATTTCTCCCCAGGCAAAAATGTAAAAGCCATGGGTTAAAAATGCAATCTAAATTGCTTTGGATAATCTGATCTAAGGCCTGGAGGTTGTTGCCTTGTCAAGTTCCAGCTAGAGTCCACCAAATGGCCCTGACGCAGAAGACGACTATTCCACTGATACAGGCGGCGGTAACACGCCGAGAAGAACTCTGCTTATCAGTACACGTGAACGCATACAATGGATTCAGAGTAGGTTGAAAATCTGCTTTGCAAATGTTTTTAGAGGAAAGAGCAAACTAGCATCTATTTGTTGGAGCTCAAGGATTCGCACAAAGCGTTTTGGTGAGCAAAGCTCGCCAAGGCCTCTCGAGGGGAAAGGAAGTGGCACTTGTCCTCATTGGAGGTCGGCATTCAGTCACTCGCTTCGTGACCTTGCATGCCGTGAGCTGGAGAGATCCTCCATGTGCTTTTACCAACTACGTAGATCCGATGAGAGGCTGTGACTGACTGCTTCCTTCCCTTTTTCCCCCTTTTCTTCTCTTTCACAAAACGCTGGGAAATGAGATTTTGAATGCGACGCGCATAATGGAGAGCCTCGCCGCCCCCCCTCATACCAGGAAGCAACATGAAGAGCTTCTAAATCATGCAAAGTTGAGGAGCACAGGAGAGGAACAACAAGTGCAGTTGCTCTGAGAAAACAAAGAGGAATTGAATACGCGGCGGGGATGAAGGCCTCGCGTGAGAGCCAATCGGAGAGAGCCTTACATCCACGTAGTTGGCGTTGATGTAATCTCCCACCTTCCCGTCTTTGTCCCCCTGCTGAGATAGTCGCACTCGGCTGTGGTCATCTGAGGGGGAGAGACAGATTGAAACAGATTTTAAAAGCAATGCGGCTTCAGGTCAACACAGAAAATACTTCAGGTTCTTTTCAAATCAGGTATAAATTTCAAGGTTGTTTTCTATTCTTCTTGTCGCCATCGAATCCCATGAAAAGACAAACGTAAAAGACGTAAAAACACCTGCCGCCTGGTTTGGAAAAGAGCAGTAGATTGGATGAAACACATGTCAATCAATCCGAGCAAAGCCTTCAGTGCTGCTCTCTGACAAACAGAATGTTTGTCAGAACAGTAGGTGTGACTCACAGGCCAGGATGTTGCTGTATCGGTTCTTAGGTCTGTTGTCAGGGTGGTTGGAGCTGTCAGTGGTCATCCCCATGTCCACCGAGCAGGCCTGAACCTCCTGGAGGAACACACACACACACACACACACACACACACACACACACACACACACACACACACACACACACACACACACACACACACACACACACACACACACACACACACACACACACACACACACACGATGCTGGGTGTCCGTACAAGACATTTTCTGTTTCCTTACTTTGAGGAATAGAAATGTGGCTCTTTTTAATTTTTCGGGTTTTAGGATTTGTCGCTGGTGGTTTGTACATTTTTGAAAACATTTCTATTTTTTAACAACAATATAACGGGAAATTTAAGTAAAAGGTGGAGATTTTAAAAATGTGTAAAAATGTGAAATTTGAAAAAAACAATTTATGAATATCTCAAATAGGGATTGCTCAATGTATTTAAATGGGTTCTTCTGTGGATGTATCGTAAAAACATCAGTTTTTGTGACAGTTTAATATTTGTGAACCTTCATGTATTTTACATTTTTTGGGGCTTTTTATTTTTTCGTCTGAAAAGAATACAGTTTAATACTCATCTCTCACATCCTGTACATGCCAAACAGAACATCTATCAAACAACACACCAGACAAAACACACAAGCAGCCCCGCGGCTACGTCAGGAGGGAGGTGGAGTAGCAAGAGGTGCAGGAGGAGGCGGCCTTACCTCGTAGCTCTCCTTCAGTATCTAACGACCAGGGGCGGAAGCAGCAGGCAGGCCGCGGCATTTCCGTGACAACACGGTCAACCAAAGAGGTGCGAGAACACAAATTACAAGACAACACGTAGAAATACACACGATACAGAATCATGCTGCTGCAGACAAGAAACACTGATTCTACTACTGATGGCTCGGGAATAACAGGGAGAAATCTGTTATCTCGCCAGTTCCTCTTTGTTAAGTTATTTAGCGCGTTGGTATGATGTGTGTGCATGTGTCTATGAGGCGGTTTTATTATACATTCATCATTACACACACACACACACACACACACACACAGGTTTGGTACCTGGAACTCTCGTTGGAATCCGTCAGCCTGGTGAAGCTCGGCTACGTGTTTCACAAACTGCTTCACCGGGAACGCAGTCAGTTCCTCTGGAGGAGGAAGGGGAGATGGAAGGAGGTAGGGAGGATGGAAGGATGGCGGAAGGAGGCAGGGACGAAGGAGGAAGAAAGGAGGAAAGTAGGAAGATGAAGGGAGGATGGAAGGAGAGAGGAGGAAGAAGGAGGAAAGAAGGGAGGATGGAGAGAGGAGGAATTAGGAAGGAGGGAGGAAAATTGGGAGTGTGGAGGGAGGAAGGAGGGAGGTAGGGAAAAGGAAATGAGCACACAGGCGCGGGGGAAAAGAACCAGAGGTCCAAGCGTCTGTTGTGTTGTAGGAATACACTACATAGGAAGCATCGAGCTGTAAAGGAATTTTTCCGGAATGTTTCTTTTAAAGTGAGGATTTATTTTTCTAAAAATAAAAGACATTTTTGGAAAAGCGAAAGGATTTTAAAAACTATCCTGAGATGAGTTTTGGGGACATGGTGACGTTTGTGAAAAGTGAGGACAATTTATCCAACAGAGGGACAATTGTTCAGAAAATGTCACTCTTCACACTTGAGAAAGTTTCGGAGCATTTAAGAAATTCAGGACATGTTTGAGCGAGTGAAGTGTGTGTGTGTGTGTGTGTGTGTTACCAGATGTTAATGCAGCGGCGGGCGGTGAGATGACTCTGGGTGACGAGTTGTCGTCGATGTAGAAGTGAGCCGTCTGAAAACACGTCCTGAAAACACACACGAGTGTTGTGTTAATGGGTGATACATATAATATAAATGCTGAGTGTTAATGGGTGATACATATAATATAAATGCTGAGTGTTAATGGGTGATACATATAATATAAATGCTGAGTGTTAATGGGTGATACATATAATATAAATGCTGAGTGTTAATGGGTGATACATATAATACAAATACTGAGTGTTAATGGGTGATACATATAATACAAATACTGAGTGTTAATGGGTGATACATATAATACAAATACTGAGTGTTAATGGATGATACATATAATATAAATGCTGAGCGTTAATGGGTGATACATATAATATAAATGCTGAGCGTTAATGGGTGATACATATAACATACATGCTGAGTGTTAATGGGTGGTACATATAATATAAATGCTGAGTGTTAATGGGTGGTACATATAATATATATGCTGAGTGTTAATGGATGATACATATAATATAAATGCTGAGTGTTAATGGGTGGTACATATAATATAAATGCTGAGTGTTAATGTGTGAGACATATAGAATAAATGCTGAGTGTTAATGGGTGATACATGTAACATACATGCTGAGTGTTACTGGGACTGGAGAACCTACTCAACGATGCTTTTGTTTTCGTGTGACTCTCCCTTAAAACCAGATTTTGGAGAATACACGTAATCTTCCCAAAAACACAGGAAAGAAGATGTTCCGTTAATCCTCGACACGTTTTTAAACGGATGAGATCTCGTCTGATGAACCGGCGTCGTCTCGGCCAGAAATGGGCATCAGGGATTATGACGGAGATTAAAGACGTGTTTTGGAGGAATCACAAGCAGATTCTCTCGTATGAGTATAAGACGGATCTAGAGGATGTGTTGACTTCTCTTAACTTCTTCCACTTGCTTTTGTATTGTTTAGACGTCTCCCTTTGTGTGAGGATCAAAGCTTGAACTGGTTAAAGGCAATCAATAACCACGGGAAAATCAATAAACCAGAGAAAGATATTTAGATTAATAAAGGGATTTTCGAGTACTACTATTGCAATGATTGCTTTGATTTGAATCTCTTAGAGACACTAACGGCTGCCATAAAAATAGCCTTTGGGTTGGTATTTTTTATCATTTTTATTTGAATTCAATTTATTTTATATATCCCAAATCCCAAACCAGACCCGGGCTTTAAACTCCCTGTGATTGTTAATTGAAGCCGTAACTACTTAAACCAATAAATATCATTGTTATTGTCATTTCAATAATTTCTCTTCACAAAAGCACACCCAGGCTTTTGTAGACTTCAAGCATGTCTTCATGGGAACTTATACTTTATTTATTTATGGACGTTGAGAAAAAGGGTTTTAAAGCTAATAGAAGTGGACATTTCTCCATTGGGCGACGTGTTGAGTGTGAATTATCTTCCCCGATGATCCCACTCAGGGGTCAAAGGGTCTTAAGGCATTAACACTGCAGATGGTTGTAGGTTTGAAACCTACTGGAGCAGAAAATGACATGAATTTGTTAATCAAATCCATACAGCGGCTTTCATCCAAAGTTATGCTTCACATAACAGATACTCTCTCTGCGATGTCCGATAACCTAACGTCTGATTTTAACCATTAAAGTGTCTTCATCTCTGGACAGATGGTCCTTGAGGCCGTGAGATTATTGTTCAAAAGATGTCATTCTGCTGCTGTTCATTGGCCAATTTAGTGTTCTTCTCTTGTTTGTCTGTATGACTGAGACTACTTAATCTGATTATATTGATGTAAAGAAGCTCAGCTACAAGTTCAACTTAAAAAAGAAAGAAAAGGTCAACAGCTGCTGCGCATTAATTACCAAGCACACAGTCGCATTCACTATCTGAATCCTCCATGGACGGAGTGTAAGAAGTGGACTTGGTCACCGTGACGTCACCCGTCGGTTTGAGGGATAAAGTCCTGAAGCGGCATGCTGGCCGTCGCCATCTTTGTTTTTTTTGTAACCAGCAGCTCAAGAGAGTCGAGTGAACTACAATCCAACTGAATAAAACATTTTTTGTGCAACCGAAAGATTACCAGTAACTTCCATAATTGTTTTTTCGCAACCCGTTAACATGACCATATTTGGAGGGACAAGGACGTATCTGTCTCTGTTAGAGACCTGTCAATCAGCTTGTAGCCCCGCCCTAAAGCATCCCCTGCTTTATGGTCTGTTTGACTCTAAACGGACCATAATTTACTAAATGAACATCACGCTGTATTGAAGAAGACTTCAAACTAGAAATTGAGACCATAAACTCATGTTTACAATGTTTACTGAGGGAATAAATCAAGAGAGAAGTAGAGAGAATGCAGCTTTAACTTATGAAGCTTTGGTTTTACAATAACGCACCAGAGGTTTTCTGCCTGCGATCTCCGGGCTGAAGGTTTGTCCGCAGGTGTAAAGACGTGAAATGAATCAGAAGCAATAGGCAGTTATTAGTGGAGCTTTTACTGATCATTTAACTTGTTTATCCAATAAAAACTGATCCGGGACTCCAACAAAAAAGCTGCACCCATGAGAAAAAGTTGGAAACCTCAGCGGAAAAGTCGACCTTCTCAAACCGCTTTGACCTCAAAAGCACAGCAGCGACACGTCTCCTCCTGTCCAACATAATCCCGCGGATGTCCTTTTTCCATCCCCCCGACGTCGGCCAAGGTACATCCTTCGCCGAGGATTAATCTCCCCCTCCCCAGATTATTACCGGCTTAGCACTGCTCAATCTTAGAGATACAACAACAAGCGGGGCCAAAAACAAGAACAATATGTGGAGATGAAATGTTCAGAATGTTCGACAGCGTCCTTGAGCCCATTTCTCAGGTTGGCTATTTCACGGTCTGAGTGGGAGGCGGATTTTATTTTCTCCTTCATCCTTCGGCGCGGCCAAAAAACATGTTTTCAGCACACAAAGAAAAGAACGTCCTGAATAGGGACACGAAAAAAAGACAGAAAACTTTTACAGCGTTCCCAAGAAAGAAACTTGTTTTCTTCAAATCGAGAAATGAATATTGTGAATGTTAGAATTCTGTCAAGGTTCCTGAGAGGAGGAAGAAATGTAAGAAGGAAACACCCCACACTCAGTATTCAGAGATATGATGGGGTTGAAGGGCAGTGTGTGCGTGTTTTCATAAGAAACCAGATGCATCATACATATAACGATCAATAATCGGGACCCATTTGGCCGTTCTGACTGCGACGTGAATTATGCCTTTAAGTGACATTCATCGGATTTCTACTCAAAAGGCAGGATGAAAGAACGTTTTGACCCCCGTTTAGTTAGAACTCCTCCATGTGGTTGTTGTCTCTGTGGAGCCAGGACAACATGGAGATAAACATGTCTCCTGTTCCCGGGCGCCAGGGCTCGGGGGCAGAAGATGCTTCACGCCTGAGGCCTGACACCCGGTCGCGGGTTTGATTCCGGCGGGACCAACCTCCAGTAGACGAGGATACCGACGAGCACCACCAGGCCCAGGCCCGTGAGGGTGGAGATGACGGCCAGAGGCACCATGGCCTCCCTCTCGCGGTCCCGGATGGAGCCCACCCTCGACTCGTGGCTGCTGTTGCTGGCGTCTGGGGAGAGACGGGGCGGTCAATCATTCAACACATTCATCAAAACATTATTGCAACTGTGGAGAAGGTGAACCTGATGTTTAAAACACTGGTACGGATTAACCCTGACCTTCAACCCTTACTGGGTTTGTCAGAACTTACCTGCCCTGCACAAAGAGACGAGGGGAAGGTTTGCTCTCTACTCTCTGTGCAACCTCAAGAGTAAGAAAACCAAACCACTCACTCTCTCGTCTCCCACCAAACGGGAAGGAAGGAGGAGAGGTCCGGAGAGAAGGAGGAATGAAAGAGGAGGAAGGAAATAGGAAAAGCCCGGAGAAGGAAGAAGGAATAGCTCTCAGAGAAGATAGAAAAGTAATTTGTTCTGCTGAAGAAACCGTAGAGAAATAAAAGATTCAAAATCCACCTTTAAGGACACAAAGCCGGCTGAATGTCCCACTGATAATGAAGATGGAGATGGACAGTGTGTGTATATGGACATATGTTAAGTTAAGGATGCTAAAATTCCTAAAGTAAATATGATACGACAATCAGGTATTAAGTAGCTACAGACGCATCGTCTCTGGAATCGTTTTCATGGAAGTTTACTTAAATAACTGTTTCTTGTCAGAGAGGAAACCAGTGAAGCGCTGAAGTGTCACATTCAAACAGTGAAACATGAAACTTCCCCGGATGAGATGGGGCTCTGCTGCCACCTAGTGGACACTAGTGGCACGACTACTTTCACACGGAGTTGCAAAACTAACATAAAATTATAAATAGTATCATATTGCAATAGAGAAACTTGGAAATAATGATGTGTGTTTTAACACAATAGAAAGCTTCAACAATAAAGTACATCAGCTCCCAACGTTTATCAGCATGGATTAAAAGCATTTAACCATTTAAGTGCACTTTAACGATGCATCATCTATTGTAGAAGTGAATGATGTCGTGAAGCAGCTAAAGAAACTAAGCCGTCGCCACTTCTTGTTTGCTTCTGATGACGTTATTTTGAACTGACGGTCGGATCTGCTGATTCTTACTTCATGGTTAACTCGGTAAGGCACTGAGAGGTCCCTGGCAATGCATGCTGGGATACGCTCCCAGGTCTAGACCGACTACCTGCTTAGAAAGTGGCCGGGTGGGGGGTGGGGTGATTAAAGGATGAAGAAGGGAGGGGCTCAAGCCTGGTGACCTTTCACCTCGCATGCATGAAGAGAGAAGACGAGGAGAGAGCAGAGAAGTGTTGCAGGTGGATGAGTGGATCAGCCGGCTCGTTGCTCTCAACCCTTCGGCGTCTTGCAGGTGAAATGCAGTACTTGTTTGTTTTTTAGTGGTTTTACCTGCGACTGGCTCCTCCTCTTCCTCCGACTCTCTCTCCGTGCGCTCGGAGATACTGAAGTCGGACGTCTCATTGTCATACGGACCGCCCTGCCCCGAGCCGCTCTCCTCCCCCCCCCCAGCTGACCAGGGCGAAGCAGGCGTCACTGCGGCGGCGGGTCGCCGTTTGCCCCCGCCTCCGAGGCCACGGCGCTGCCGCTCCCGCTGTCGAAATAGAACGCTGAGGAGTGCTCGTCCGAATCGTCGGCGGACCGGCCGGACCCCGGGGGCATGGACGGGGGGGCCGGCGCCTTTTGTTGGGATGAGTGGAGGCGCTCGCTCCGGAGGCCGAGGTCTGAACCCCCTCCCACTCCTGATCCTCGCCCTCCGGGGGGTCGGGGAACAGGGCCGAGCCAGAGGCGCCGCTGCTAGTGTCCAACGCCCGTCCTCCCGGGGTGGGGGTGAATGGGGGGGCCGTGGGAGAGGAAACGAGGGCGGGGGTCAGCGGGGAGGAGTCCCCGTCCGATCCGGATAACAAGGGATCGAGCGCTGCAACAGAAACGGGCCGGTCACTGGGGGCGACCCCGAGGAGGAGGTAGTTCGAAGAGGTCGACGTTGGAGAGATGCGAGCGCCGGGGGGCGGGAGGGAGGACGGGCCGCGGGCCCCCAACACGGAGACGGAGCGAAGGAGATCGTCTACACCGACACCAGAGGACGAAGAGAAGCCCCCGCCAGAGTAAAGCGCTAAGCTAGCAGGGTCCCAGGCAGAGGAGGGCAGGGGCGTGTGAGGAGAGGCGTGCCCCCAGGGCGTGGAGGCCGTGGGCTCCAGGGAGCAGCCGCACAGCGGGTCGAAGGGGAACCCCCCCCCGCTGACCTCGGGGAGGAAGGACTCCACCGGGCTGCCCGCAGCGTACCTCGCGTCCTCCCACCCCACCGAGAGAGAACGGGCGAAGCCCGGAGTGGCGCCGGAAGGGCCGAAGTCACCAGAGAGGAGAACCGAAGGCTGTAGGGAGGGGCCGAGAGAGAGAGAGTCCGTCGAGAGGGAGGGGTCCCGGGGGGAGGCAGACGCCACTCTGAGGGGAGCCGTGTAACTAAACACCGAGTGGTCACCTGAAGGGGCTGACCAGGACCAAGACCCAGACAACATATCACCATTGCTATCGCTATCGTAGACCCCGACACCGGGGGAACCAGTCTCCCAACCAGACAGGGGAGGCCAGGGGGGAGGGGAGTGAGGAGGGGTGGAGTCAGGGAACAGGGGGGTTGGAGGGAAAGCCGGAGTGGTAGCGGCATGCTGGGAGTCCGGGGCAGGGGTGGACAACAAGGGCCAAGACGAGGAGGGAGGGTCATGCAGGCAGGTGGAGGGGTCCGTGGTGTCACAGGGTGGGAGGGTGGAGGAGGAGGCAGAGAGGGGCTCACCGTTGGACATTGGCTGTGTTGTCTGCAAGAGAACGCCACTCAACTGGACGGAGGTGGCGATGGACTGAAAGGGGGGCTCGCTGGGACTCGTGGGCCCCCGTGGAGTCGCTTCACCTGAGGAGGAAGTCTCGGAGATCAGAGTTTGGATCTCCGTCGGCCCTCTGGGTCGGGGTGAGACGTCTCCGGTTTCCACCTGGACGAAGGGTGGCGGCATGCGGGACCTTGGCATTGTCTCTGTGCTGCTGTGTGAAGAAATGCCCTCGTCCCCGGGGGGGCCGGGAGAAGAGGAGTCCGCTGGACCAACGCCTCCCTGAACCGAGTACAAAGGAGCGGTGGAGGTGGTGCTGCTGGTTGTGGAGGGAAGAGGAGCGCTGCCGGTGAGGTCAGCTTCTCCTGCTAGTCGGGTGGGGAGGGGGACCTCTGGTGGACGGGTGGAGGTACTGCGGTGAGCCGTCTCTTCAGACGGAACCAGGATTCGACCGTGCTCGGTCGATTTGACGGGGGGAACCGGACCAGTTTCTGCTGTTGTGGTGACGTCAAGTGGGGGTAACAGTGGTACCCGGGGCGTCGTGGTCCTCGGGGGCTGTGTGGATGTGGGTACCCAGACGGTCTGGACCGGTTCGTTCCAGGCCCGGTCGGGTTCATAGTTTTCCTGTCAATGGGAGAGAGGTTTGTGAGCGGTTTGTAACTCGGATCAAACCCAACTATCAGAAGCTTGTCTTACCTCGTCGTCAAATTCAATCAAATCCAGATCCAGCACATCTTCTGCAAATAAAAAAGGTCAACGGCACTATTATTAGATCCTCAAAATAAAATCAAAACAAGGAGTAAAATGATTCTTAGAAATTGTCAAATACACAATTTAGCTACTTTGATCTCTACATTTCTCTCAAGTCTTATTGGTGTTGGTGTGAATATCCTGAGTTTGAAAATGTACAAGAAGCAAATGGAACATTAAGGAGGGGGAAGGGAGGGGGAAAGGGGGGGGGGGGGGGGGGTTAACAGGGTACATCCATCACTACAGGAAAACCCCCTCCCCCGGCTCACTTTGGTTCACTCCAAATGAATAAAAGATTCTTACTAATGAAACCCAAGTGTGCTTTTGCTGAATGTAAATGTGTGAAATAAAAGGGTGAGAAAAAGTAAAGGAGGGGAAGGCTGTGCACGTCACCATGCAACATGTCAGACACCCACAGCTTCATGCATCGCACACACACACACACACACACACACACACACACACAAACAAACAACAAAACCTCTTGACAGAAAGCATTTGCAACAAATCATTCATTTTGTTTCAGCAGAAAAATGACTTTCCTCTGATCCTCTAAACGCTTAAAAGTACTGAAACTCCACCCGTCTGTCACCTGAGAGGAATAACACAAACTCACAAAAAGAGTTACTTGCAGATGGCACACACAGCGAGGGGGGGGGGCTCTTACCTGTTTGTACCACATGATGGAGACCAGATCAAACTGGTTTGAGAAGTAGGAAGTGAGGCTTTAAGGTGTAATGGAGTGGGACATGAAACAGGATGAAACGTGATGCATTGATCACATTCTCGGCTCATTAATTTATTCAAGTTAGTCAACAAGTTTTGGTCAAAACTAAAATGTACAAAAATAAATGAAAACCTGCATGATTTTGTTTATTATTATTAAAGCAAATGTTTTAATAATAATGTCATATCAACTAACTGTAAATCCTGTTAATTGTAAACTGACATTTTATATTAAAATATATTAAAAAAAATACAATATATTAATACAGGTCATAATGATTTTATTGGAATAAAAATCTTGAGCTGGATTATTGGTCTTTTGTGAAATCAGAAAGTGAACCCCAATTTTATAGACAAATAGCATTATTGAAGCTACAAGTGCTCCAATCAGCCAGTTCTGTTAATATATAGATTCATCTATGGCTGTGAATTGTCTATCAAAGGCTCTTTTTCCGCTGAACCACTAATGGTATAGTTGCAATATAACTACAGTTTTTCTATTCAGACCTCCTTCAGTCGCACCACTTTGAGATGCAGCTGAGATGGCAAAGCAAAATTAGCTTAGCATAGCACAAACAGCTGTGTCCCCGGAGGCTGATGGGACGAAGCAGAATATCACCCACTCGTGCAAGCTGACACTGAAATAGGATGCAGGGTATTTTCACTTTGTCACAAGACAATATTAGTTTATTCAACAAAGTTCAGATGAAATACAAAGTAAATGTTACACAAAATGCTGCGGCACACATGCAGAATGTTGGTCCCCCTGTGAGAGGCCGGAGGAACCGACCCCACACAGCGACAACAGAAACAAGATGGCTTTGGAAATCATCTCACAATATAGAAATATAGAATATAGAGAGGGTGCACATGTGAAAGGTACACAGAGAAACAGATTAGTAGACAGAAAAATAAGAGCAGCGTGTATGTTTGTGTGTGATTAAATTGCCCAAAGTAAAAGGTAAGGAGGCTGAAGAAGGACACACCAAAGTATACATGAGTCAGGGTTAGGAGGGAGGAGAGGAAGAAAATGTTTCTAAAAGATAAGAAATGTGTCTGCATTTCTTTGTTACGTTGAGCCAGGGCATTGGTTTTCTCATATAGTAAGTATATTTTATATATATACACATCATTTTCTGTATTTGCACATTTACGTAAAATAAAACAAAGGAGAAGAAGAAAAAGAGAGAGTGAGAGTCTGGATTTCTGCACAGTCTACGCTTGGCCTCGGTCGCTCTTACCGGCGTCGTCGTGGTCGGGCATGGCGACCGTCAGCTGCTCGCTCACACGCCCGTACAGACCGCTGGTGCAGACCGCCACCACCTGCACCACGTAGCTGGTGTTGGCCAGCAGGTCGTCCAGCATCGCCCCCTGGTGGAGGGAGCAGGGAGGCGCTTAAGTTTCTATGCAGACGTTAGCATGTCGTGACGTTAAATCTGATGCAAAGTGGTGATGAAGTTCCACATTGACACATACAAAACATTATTGAATTAAAGCGTATGTCTTAGTGATGATTTTCACTGCACTGTGTGATAAAAACGGTCCGGCTGTGAGGAAGTCGTCGTTGACGATGTGGAGTCTCCCCCGCTCACCACGTCCTGGTCCCCGTCGGTCAGGTACGTAGCGGCGGTGTCGGCGGCGGCCGGCCGGAAGGTGACGGAGTATTTCTCGATGGCGGCGTCGTACACCGCCCGAGGCCGCTCCCACGTCACCAGCAGGCTGCTGGTGTTGAGGGGCGTGGCCTGTACGTCCTCCGGCTCAGAGCTGCACACTGACGGAAGCAGACGGACGACAATTTACATTAATCAAATGAATTACCTTTCGCTTCCTAATGTTTGTGTGGAAGAAATACGAAAAAAAAATGTTTTCCCTCCAAATTAAATATGTGAACAATACGTATAAAGGTTATAGACATTATCGATAAATGTACAAACGATTACTTTAAGGTAAATGCCAATAATGAAATATTGTATTACTGTTTATGTATCTTTATTATTCAGCGTTTAACAAATGCATGTAAATCTGTAATCTGCAATTAAATGGTTCCCCTCTTTCCAGCATATCGTATATTTCATTTTTTTTAAACAACAAAGCTGCACTGCTCTCGAGGTCATATAGTGTATAAAGATTAAAAAGCAGATTTAGTTCCACTTTGTGAAGAATAATTCTTCTCGATCATGCAAATATTCAGACACTACAACCTCATGCTGCAATGATTTCTTCATTTCTGTGGTTTAAATGACACTAGCAGTTACTTTAAGGCAGCAGGCAGAATAATGGATCACTTAGAGATTAGATCAGGCTGACGGGGGCCAGAAGGGGGGGGAGAGGGTCTCTCCTGCACTCAGGGAGTCTGGGTCATAGTTGAGATTAGAGGAGCAGAGATAATGCAGATGACAGAAGTCTAGATTAACTCAGATTAAAACATGACAGCGGACACGAGGACAAACAAAGACACACTTCCTCCTCTAGAGGAACCCAAATCCCCGACCTCTGACCTCCACTTTCCCAGAGGCCTCGAGGGGAGCAGCGACTTCATCTGAGGAGAGAACTCCTCCTCCTCTAACTCCTCACTAAACTACTTCCTATTCCTCCACCTCTGATTTCCAAGTCAGACTTTTATTTATGAAAATCATTTGTGCGCTAATGTTCCACACGCAGAATTTATTCACGTTAAACGTGGCGGCAGGTGAACATTTAGGGATCACAAGACAGAGAAGATTCATTCAACATGAAATCAGTGATGAAATGACACCAAACGTGTCTTATTAATAAGCTGCTTTAACATGCTCATTATCTTCATAAAATATGCTATTCTCTGTTTTTAGGCCTACAGATGTTAATCATCTGGAATATAAAATAATTAAATAGTGGTTTCTGCTTTTTTCAATACAGTTACTTTTATTACTATTTATGTAATATTATTAGTAGTCAAATTAGTGTTTTTTTTCAAGGAGCCGCGTTTGTCCACAGGGAACCCCAAAGTCAGCATTTACATTAAGATACAGTAATATCACAATAGTATGCCTTATATTGTTTCAGAATAGCATACATTATAATAATATATATATATATATATATATATAATATCTATTGATAAATTCAGTTAACACGTGGATTTCATTTTATGCCTTAATAATATACAACTTGACCTATAATAATAATAACAAATAAAATAAAAAATACAATATTTCCCTCCGAAATTTAGTACTGCAGAAGAATAAAGTAGCAGTAATACAAAAAATAACTCATAAATTGTAAATGTATAGAAAATCAACTTTACAACCGTTTATTAGAAGGAATTATGTGAACGTTGTGTCCTGTAAGCAGACATATAAACTCTGGTCTCTAACGGAACTGAAACGCTAAAAAAAACACAGATCAATAACCTGCTCGTTACTAATTATCGAATACAAACGGCATGGAAATCGATCCTCCGCTGCCACCGAGGACTCATTTGGGTCACCAGAGTTTAAAGCTTTTTAATTAGAATCGACCGGGATTCTTCGCACGAGGTCCAGGACCAGCCGGGCGAGACGTCCATGTTGTAAGGAAGCGGTTAAAACTCGTCTAACAAATTAATTTAATTCATACAAGTAAAATGATTATAATACTACAAGACCAGATATGTTTTTCTTACATTCTAAATATCTGTCTTTTATGTTTTTCCTAATAGCTAAATGTGTTTAAATATAAATCATGTTTAGTGCAGTAACGTTCTGATTTCACTGGATTCATTTGGAATAACACCGACACATCAGGAAGTTCAAACTTGTCTAGAGACAGCCGGCGTTTATCAGACGTCAGTCTGAGGACACAGAGGCTTCGTGCTACTCATTCCCCTTTAAAACAATCTGAAGTTATAGCAAGCGGCAACTTTGGGTTCTATAAAGTGAGACCTGATTGACAGGTCTCTAATAGACCATAAAGCAGGGGAGGCTTTAGGGCGGGGCTACACGCTGATTGACAGGCCTCTAGTGGCTTTTCCCCTCAAGCGTGACTTCCAAAATACCAGGATGGGGAAGGCCGACATGACAAACTCAAGGCTTCCAAACAGCGGCTGCGTTCCTGTGTTGGTGCATGTGTGTCAGGGGCCGACGTCAGAGATTCCCATGATCATCAATCAGGGTCTCTCAGGTGTTTGTGATGTTACAGTGCATAAACAAGGAGCTTCCAGCTGCTTCGGTGGATACCTGGTGTGAGCACCTCCTCAGTGCCGGTGTAGGAGGAGAACACCTGACCCATGAACTGCTGCCGCTCCCTGTAGTTGTTCTGCAGGTAGTCCATCAGCATCACGTATCCGGCCTGCTGCATCGTCATCACCTCGCAGAACATCTCCAGCTGCAACCACAGAGAGCAAGAGAATAGCTGAAACACTTCTACTGAGAAGTACATGATATATATACACATGTATATGTGTGTGTGTGTGTGTGTGTCTTGTGCGCATGTGTGTGTGAGTCAACAGGTGAAAGAGGAAAGAGTTTGGAGGACGTCTGATCCTCAGGAAAGAACCTTTACGTTGAAAACCTTTTGTGTGTGCGCTTTCACGTGTGTGTGTGTGCGTGCGTGCGTGCGTGCGTTCAACTTAAACACGAAGATCTTTTGTGAGACGAAATTTGTTTGATGTATTGAGTGCTTCTGCTTGGCCGTCAATCACTCACTTGGCCCAGGGCAATGGCACACCCACCCACACACACACACACACACACACTCACACACACACACACACGCACAGCCTCGCCTATCACTTTGTGTGTCTTCTGGTATGATAATTCCTCCTTTCAGCTGCTTCAACATGTTTTCTAAAAGCTTCTTTACGGACGTTTTCTGTAGTTGTGTGACTTGTCTTCTGGAATCTGGTTCTTAAAAGTTCAAACCACTAAACTAAACCTTGAGCTTCAGACGCGCTTCCACCATGGAGACGGGGGACGAACACGCCACTAACCAGCCACAAATGTATTTATTCAGCATGTAATGCTAGAAAAAACACCGCTTTCGTTATGACGTGTGGTGAATCTTGTGGTTAGTTCACCTTTGAGTCCTGGGGAGATAGTACTAATGGTAGTAATACAGATCATGGACACCCGAATGGTTTTAACGTGTTTTATTCTCGCTTCTCGTGTGTGCAGCCGGCTCACTAAGAAGAACCCCTCCTCCTGTGAAGCCTAGCGTCTGAGGAGAGGTTATAAGGACAAAGGAAAGACAAGTCGTTGTGCATCACCGGTGTACTAGAATCTCCAACGACACCGAAACTACAGGCCCAACACGACCGGTAGTTCCTACTTCATGGCTGCTATCGGGTTCTACCGGGCGGCCCCCTCCCTCACCTGGTCGTCAGAGACGGACGCCGTGCTCTTGAAGACAATCCACTCCACGGTCTCGCTGCAGGGCGGCGAGGTCAGGGAGCCGTTGTAGACAAAGTACTTTTCTGTGGAGTTGGGCAGGAGGCCCAGCGGGGCGAAGGGCAGGACCCGGGCGCTCTTCCCTGGAGGGAGGAGACGGGCTCGGGTTAGCAGAGGAAGAGGAGGAGGAGGAGAAGGAGGAAGGCGGAGGAGTCGTACCGTATCTGCTCACGCTGTTGATACCGTCGATGATGGCGCTGAAGTTCAGGTTGTCGTTGACGCTCGTCTGTAAAGTTGTGAGTTTTTTGATCACTTGATGAAACTACGTTTCCACATCCTCTAAATGTTTTCATTTGGATTGTTCATCTCATACTTTTACTCATTTCAACTACTTCTCCATAACTTTGGCTCATTTTATGTACAATCTAGCCGTCAATCACATCTTGACTTGAAGAGATAAAAGTATCAGCACCATCAGGTAGAAATACTCATGTTTACAATGTCCATTTTCTCATAGACGTCTATGGGATCAGAGTCAAATAAAGACAACTGCTCATGAAGTTGTTCTTTTCTTAATGCAAGTGAAATGTGAGATGAAGTAGAATTATTTTAAAATCAGGCCAATCAACAATAACATGACCTTTATAATAATTTGACCTTTTCCAATAAAGCAAAGCTAAAAAAAAACAGAACAGGCTTTTCTAGTTTTTTGTCTGGCGGTTTTCCCACCCTGCTCTCCGCCCAGAACACACGCTAACAGAGCCCCTGGCGTCACAGCACTTTTTCTTCTTTTTTTGTCTGAGCTCTGTTCAAATACGACCTCCGTCGGCTCCAACACGCCAACCTGGAGGCAACGCAACGCACAGAGCGAAGCGCGGAGAGACCTCCCTCTGATCCTCGGCATCGTGGTCTTCTTCAATACTGCAGTATTTACACTTTTACTTGGATAAAAGATCTGACAACATATGAAGAGGCTCAAAATGAGTCTTTGTTGTGCAGCCCTTTGATGTAAAGAAACCAGCGGGTCACGTGGCCATCTGCCCTGAGAAGAGGAGGCGCACCTCGAAGAGCACGGCGAGCGCCGTGATCCTCCCCCCGGCCTTGATGGTTTCATCCAGCGAGGCGAAGTGATCCGCATCGTAGCAGTAGATCTGCATCTGTGCGAGAAGAAGAGGAGGATGAAAAGTCCAGTGAGGAGTCACGGACGTGTCAACGAGCTGTCGACTCCTTCTGCAACAGTTCTGTGTGAAAGTTGATGATGAAATAGGCTAATAGTTATAGAGTGAATGTGCTGTTCTGCTACAACGCCCCACGATAACAGAATGTTACTGTAAGATGTTGAAGGAATATGTACGAGAAGATGTGTCACCTCCAGAGGGAACTTGACTCCATCCAGACTGTGTTCGGAGCCCTCTGAGGAGGCGTTGCAGCGCCCCCAGTGGAAGGTGACGCGTCCAACCTTGAACTTTGACCTCAGGCCGCCTCCACTGACGTAGAACTCACCGCCCACATCGACCGCCACTGACAACGGAAGAAGAGATAAATGCCAACGGGCTACACATCATTGAATAAAATCACATGCAGGTCAGATGTGTCCTTCAAAGCGCTGAAGACCTCTAATTGAATCGATGGATTCTAAATGTTCGGAAGATCAAAAGCGCTCGTGGGCCACACAGTACTCCACTAACGCCGCCATTACAGCGCCAGACAATGAGTCCGCCTCCTTCGAGTCGCTCTTTGTTCGCCCGACAAAGGCTGCCTGCAGGGCCCGAACGACCTTTGATGGTGTAACCGCGGCGAAGCGTCTGCCCTTTCATCTCCTGTGCTATCATGTACGTCTCAGTTAATAGGTAAGGTACCAAAGTCTTGATAGCTGCTGTATCAAGACACCTGGTGTAGAAACTTCATATTTAATACTTTCATGAACTTAGACCAACATCCGACGGCTCTTCACGTCGTTGCTGGAAAGCCTCCGTGTGTCCTCGTGCTCATCTCAACTTGTTCTATTATGTCTTCCTTTAACCTTGTGTCGGCAAATATTGACTCAACTTGTTGCTGATTGTCTCCTGTTGAAAGGTGTGTTTGTGTATCAAAAGGCATGAACTGATGCATGCGCTCCATCAATCAACTGTTTTAATACTGAAATCCTCATTTTGTGGCTGCGTACAGCCGATAAAAAGGTTTAAGTGAACTGAATGGTTGCTGGATTGTGCGCTGAGAGCATCTCCACTGATAAAAGGCTTCTTTGCAGCTGGCGAGTGAACAACAACCACAACAGAGTGCTTCTCTTTCCCCTCAGGGTCGCGTTGCTAAGAAGCACCGGGCTCCTCTTTTAGGAGCTTTTTTTTGTTTTTAAATAAGGTGGGTTCCCTCCTCGTCTAAATTTCCCTCACAAAGACCTCGAGGGCTCACTGTAGGCTTTGTGCGTCCCACCATTAGAGGGAGGAGACGGATAAAGGGCTCTCGATCCACTGGAATTAGAAACTGGAAACTGTACCCTTTAAACCGGGTCTGTCAGCTTAGACAACACACCCCTTTATATGGCTTCATATGCCTTTAAGGAACATTCATATACATCTAAGAGAATAGATCCTGGCAGTGTGCTACATTTTAAACCAATTTTACCTTCACTTGAGATTACTTTCATTTTATTAATGCAGGCAGGGGACTCTGATATCACAGATGAACAATCCCCAAACCTGAAATACGGATCATTGATGCCCTCTTTCCTTAGTAACGGTAACTCTGATCTGTGATCCGATCCAAAGCCTCGGTGTCACCACCCGCTCTTCCACACTCTCATTTCCTTTGCATATAAACATATCGATGGAAAAGACCGGTCCACCGGCTGTGGGAAGCGACGAGCACTGTCCGGTCCTCCCCAGCGGCGGGGTCTGGACCTCTCACTGGTCCGGACCGCTTACCGGTCTTGCCGTCGTTCTTAATGGTCGTGGCGCCGGTCGTCGGACTCTCCCAGCCTTCGAACGACAGCTTCTGGTACTGCAGCTTCACCTGGGCCAGGTTCTCCTCGATGTCGATGGGGGACTGCTTGGCGTTGCTGCAAGACGGGAACTTCTTGGCCCAGTTGTTCTGATTCAAGGTTCCTGGAGGGAGAAAAACTGTGTTCAGAAAAAGCTGCTTCGGTCCCGTTCAGAGCGACCAAGAAAATAATAACTAGAAGACTAGTCCCACAAAGGTGTTGTGAAAAAAAACAATTCTAAATGGGGGTTTTTCTAATTCCAAAGTTGGAGAAAAGCCTTTAGTAATGGCTCATAGCTGCATAACCACATATTAAAAAAATACTGATAAATACTGATCACTGCGGTGCTTTGACTAACTGACGCTTTGACTATAAGAAGTTCACTCCTTTTCAACCGATGTTATTTGGTCCACCTCAGCTTCTACTTTGCTATTTTCTTCACAATAATCTATTTAAAGGATCGCTAACTGACGTAGCTTTAATCGCCACCTCCTACTTGCCAAGCAAGCTTTCGAAGCGCTGTATTCTGTAAAATGAAGGTTGTATGCACACAATTGTTTGGAAAATATATCTAAGTATGAACAGGGGGCAGAGATCACAGCATGAGGGGCCGTTCACAGGTGTGCAGCTCTGGGAGAGCTAGCGCTGAGCTAACGAGCTAATAACCTCCAGCTGCTCTGCCGCACTCCGGCTTCCAACATCGGCTCTCACGGTTTTTTCCTCTAATTGGGGTCAAGGTCCACGTTTTTCAACGTTCGAGCGCAAGTTTCCCAAATCCAATGTCGTTCCGCTAACAATGCTGCTCGAAAAGAAAAGAGCTCAGCTTCAGGTTTCCTCTTCGCTTTCGACCACAAAGAACACACAACATGACGGATGCCATGAATACAGTAAGGAAAGTGCTGCAGCCAGGAAGACAAATGATCATTCATTGTGTGTGTGTGTGTGTGTGTGTGTGTGTGTGTGTGTGTGTGTGTGTGTGTGTGTGTGTGTGTGTGTCAGCTGCACTTCCAGCACCTCGTATTCTTGTCCAACTGATCTACAACCTCAAACTTTTAGTTTCCCTTTTATTGCAGAATTAATCCGAGCAGCATGTGACGTTGCTCATAAATCTCGATATAGGCGACTGCTGCGGCGCCTGGGGATTCGTTCCCATTAGCTCATATTTAAGAGAAGTTGCTGTGTCGTATATTCCATGTAACACATCCTCACATGCCGCACATTAAGGGAACATCACTGTTTTAACGTTCTCAACAATGATTTTTTTATTGGGTTTTAAAGCCTTGAGTTCTGAAAATTGTCCGTCTCCATCTTGGCTTTTTTCAACCAATAAGCAGGAAGCGACCATTTAAGGACTGAGGAGGCTGTAGAAATGGCATAAATCTGGTAGAGATCTGTCAATGAGCGTTTAGCCCCGCCCTAAAGCATCCCCTGCTTTATGGTGTATTACAGACCTGTCAATCACTGCGTAGTCCCGCCCTAAAGCATCCCCTGCCTTCTGGACTATGAGACCTGTCAATCAGGCTGTAGCCCCGCCCTAAAGCATCCCGTGCTTGATGATCTGTTTGAATCTAAATGGACCATCATTTACTAAATGAACATCAGGCTGTATTGAATGCAGTTTGTAGTTTTGGAGGTAAGAAAATGTAGTTCAGCGTTACCAAAAAGTGGTCAATGCAAATTTGTATTTTGATGCATTTCTCTTCAAACTTTTGAAATAAGGTCAGAATTTGACGTTTACTAACACATCAAGGGAGCTGAAAGGTGACGTGGTGACCTGGTTCAGACCACAAAAGGGTACTGAGATGAATTAGAGTTTAATTCCTGCTACTGATCATCTTTACATCACAATCCAAAGAGAACATAAGTCTATTTACCTCAAAACGACTCGTTGAATATTAAACTAGACAAGATTGAATGTTTAGATGACTTGAATACATTAACGCAGGACAAGAAAAGAAAGCTTGTCAACCCAAAGTCTGTTTAGTACTCTTATGACATCCGACAACCATGTTAGCAGCTTTTCCCACACCAGGTTTTCAAACATTAAAAAAATATTCCTGTCAAGGTGTGGTTTATTTCCTGTCTTATTTTGTAGTTTTCTGCTTCTTGTCTCCCTGGGTAACTTCACTTCCTGCCTTGTCCCGTCATCCCCTGTGATTGGCGGATTGTTTTCACCTGTGTCCAATCACCTGCACCTCCCTAGTGTATTTAAGCCGTGTGTGTCTGTTGTCACTTGTCGTGTCATTGTTGATTGTTGGATTGGTTCCTGCCTGTATTTTTGCTCCGTGGCCCTTTCTGAGTTTTTGACTATTAAAGTATTTTTGGTTTGACGTCTGCATTTGAGTCCTGCCTTCCCTGCATCGTGACAATTCCTGGATTAGATTATTCTAATATTACGTAATCTACCATATTTGGCTGGATGAAAAGATGAATTAAAAAGCTCCAAACCTAAAGATTCAACTGGATAAATGTTTATGCTGTAAACTCATAAACCTGTCACTCCTCTGACTCAGAGCGGGAGGTGTTAGCGAGCGACTATGGCGTTATATTTGTACCACAATCCTGAGAGCGTAATTTTAAGTTTTGAGCACAGAGAACTATATTTTAGCAAAGAAAAACATATTCCGTGCGCGCAGTTTACTCAGGTGCCCTCTCTACAAACTGATGGAGACCAACAGCCAATCACAATTGACCTTCTTTAATTCTGATTGGTTGGTTTTGTGGCACAAATGTAACGCTGCTGCAAGTCGAGCGAGCGCAGCGTGAGTGAAGAGGTGGAGAGAGCGCAGCAACGGCTGCCTGCGCGCAGAAAACCAGTTTGTGGCGAGGGCACCTGAGTAAACTGCGCGCACGGAATATGTTTTTCTTTGCTAAAATATAGTTCTCTGTGCTCAAAACTTACAATTACGCGCTCAGGATTGTGGCACAAATATAACGCCATACAAAACCGCAGACCACACGACCACACGCACGCACGCGCGCGCACACGCACACACGCACACACAAAGAAGTGGTTTTGACTCACCTGCGTACGACCAGTCGATGTCTTCTGAGAACTTGCGCTGGTTCCTGTAGGCGTATCCTCGGGCTGTGAGAGGAGCAGAGATGGTCGTCCATGACGAGCATTAGTGACACACGCAGGACCAGGAAAACATCTCTTTGAAAAGGTCCCGCGTTCACATACACGTATAGCGCTTTTACAGAGGAAGTCGTTTCATTATATCTAGTTTCTAATTTCCAATTATGTGAAAATAATTGCGTATTTTATTGTGGTGAAAAGACACACTTTCCTCCTCCCCTTTGACCCCCACATTCCATATTTTCCTGTGTCCTTCCTAGGTTGCTGCCTTTATCTGATGAATTATGGTGTCAATAAAACCATGTGAGAACTGGAATTAAAACCAACCTGGTCGGAGTTTAGCTGCAAGGAGGAACCCATCAGGTGCCACTATTAAAAACACCTTTCTCTGTAATGACGCGCATTAAAACAGCAGAACTAACGAGGGCTACTGCTCTAAGTCACATCCTTCATTTCATGATTTCATCCTATTACACGTCTGTGGGAAACCGGCATGATTGGAACACAAGTTCTTCACGCTTTTGAGTCCCAAACACACGATCCCTTCGGCCAGGCAATTCTCCAGCTCACGACCTTCCCCTTGACCTTGTGATGAGATGCAAGATGTCGGGGTGAGTTATTGACCCCTGAGCGGCCTGTCCAGGCAGCTGTCACATTAATGAAGTGAGGCCGTTAGAAAGGTCAGAGGTCACATGCCGCCATGGGGATCTAAAAGTGACGCGATGAGGTGTGCATTCACGAGCAGTCGCAGATGGAATTTCCTCCCATGGAGAAAATCAGTCATTTACTACTTTCAGGTACTTATGTTTTAGCTTTCCTGCTCAGTAATTGACTTGTGTTCTCAAATGACACAGACGTTTTCTTCAGGCAACACACCACACAACGAGTCTACGAGAAGGGGCAGAAGTTCATGGAAGACATCAAGCATCCAGAAGCACTTTGTGTGGTTCTTAATTCCCGGCCTGGTAGAACGAGGCGCTGAGGGGGGTTCGATTCCCCCGTGTTATTGTGAGTCAAATTAAAGCTTTTTTTCTGTTACACCAGGTACATGATTCTCACAATAACGCAGCAGTCATTGTGTTCAACTTTCTGATAAGCATAGTCACCACTCTTCTGCTTCACCGGAGGTTCATGAGTTGAAATCCAGTCTCGGTAAAAGCTTCGGACGTATTAGATGTCATGAGAAATCCTAACTATCTGGTATCACTCAAATATAAACCCAAATGCAGAGGTTATACAGGAACCTCTTTAACTACTTTTCTTAATTGAATTTCATGACCCAACCACTTGGTGGGTTCAGCTTAATGGTCTGCGATAAATTGAGAGATGGGGTCTCCTGCTGCGTGGCCTTTATTCCCTCTGAGCTCTGGATGATAGCGGTCTAATCCAAGATTACGTGTTGGACAGTCTGCAGAGACAGGAGGTCGGCCTGCAGGGCGACCTCTTGGCCACGAAGACCCTCGTACATGGAAAGCAGGCTGCCAGTAATCTGACTGCTTTAAAACCAGAGTACCAGCATAAGATTAACTCCTTATGAGTAAAGAGGAGATCGCTTTGAAAGTTTGGATCGGTTTGGGTTTTAAAAACTTCCTGCAGGGGGGATTTTACAGAACAGAGGAACAAAGGCGCAGCAGAATGAGGGACTTTCTACTTGCTTCAAATTAATCGCAGGAAAAATGTATTTTTCACAGAAGACATGTGAGTGGACTTTTAACAAATATATGATTATTAGATTGTCTTGATCCAGAACGGCTATTAAATGGATTTATGGAAGAGTGAATTCTTTAGGAGTTTTAAAATAACATCTCTGATGCGCTGTGTTAGAGTAAGAGTAGGACAGACATCCCGTTAAAAATCAGAGCGACGTTCCCTTTTATTGCCATTAGGCCGCTGAATCCCGCTAACTTCTGCATAAAAAAACAAGACCGACAGTCGCTGAGGGTTCGCAGTAGAGCTGTGCGCTACACCGGTTCAAACGGTATACCGGAATAAGATCTCCTACGGTATGAATTCCTCACCGTTCACTGACGTTGATCTTCGGCAGGGGACAAAACATTTTTTACACGTCATCGAGGGGCGCCCAGCGGTCGGAGCTACTTGTCTTACGTGTGTTGATGGTTATAACTTTATACGGACAATGAATAACCAGCAACAAACACTCTTTAACAGGGTTTTTACCCTGATTTATTGCAAAGTGCGCCGAGCCTCCGGTGGCAACACTAGCAGCCACAACAAGCTAACGCGCTAACAAGTTAACTCGCCAGCCAGTTGCGACCAAGTTGGCTCGCGAGCGGCGAATAGCTGTTCGGGTAGCCGGCGGCCCTTTTCGGGGTCAATTAATGAATGTGTGTTTACTTGAAAGAGCAATACCGTCACATATCGGGATACCGTCAGAAGCTTTAGGACTATATATATATATATATATATATATATATATATATAAATAATAGGCCTATAAATAGGCTACCGTGATATGGATTTATGGCCATACCGCCCAGCCCTACTTTGCAGTATCGTCTAAAACCAGAGTTTGAGTAGTAATGTCATAAAGCGCAGAGCCACAATAAATGAGTAAAATTAAGTGAAACCAAAACTTTGTTAAAGTTGCATTATCTGTAGTGACCAGCAGGGGGCAGCTTCTCTGGTCCATAGTCTATGAGAAAATGACTCCACATCTCTCTTGGTTTGTTCCCTCAGTAAACATGAGCTTGTGATCTCAATCTCTAGTTTCAAGTCTTCTTCAACACAGCATGATTTAGTGAATTATGGTCCATTTAGAGTCAAACAGAACATAAAGCAGGGGATGCTTTAGGGCGGGGCTTACTGGGATGGACAGGTCTCTACGTCCTCCTCAGTCCAAATATGGTAACGTCCGTTTAAAAGAAAGTTGAAGAATGTTAAAGTCTCCCAACTGTTGGCTTCTCATGTGAGTACATGCACCTCTTAGAACAGACTATGGATCTTTGATGTTTTGCAAACTGAGAGACTTTAAAGCATCTTCTCCCGCCAGCCAGCATCAGCTACGTTGGAACATGAGCCAGGGTGACCCAGGAGATCTGCCTGTGGGGTCAGTTCAGAGAGAACCTTCTGCAGAAGATGATGTTTGTCTGGTACTCCCGGTCCAGTGGAAGATCACATGATGGTCCACTCATCCTTTCAGTGGAGAGAAATAAATCCCTGCATCTGAAGAGTGATGAATGGTAAAAATCCAACAGACAACTCTAAACTGTCTCGTTTCTGTCGATTTAAAGAATGACGGGCCAGCAAATTGGAACTAAACCTCCCGATGAGGCCTTCCCGCCACCTTCCCATGAGCCATTGCTTGAACATACATAGAGAACGAATGCGGTTCACGCATTACAGCTGCGTTACAACTTGTGCCGCCTGCAGCTAGTTCCCTTCAAGCGCAGCGATAAAGAAACGGTTCTGAGCAAATGACACCTCCCTACTTTCTGTAACTTTGTCCTGGTGTTTCTTTGCACTCGTTTTCCACTAGAATTTGCTCAGAATTTGATGTGTTTCTTGTTAACACATACTAGGAATTCATAATGACTGATATCAAAGTGGTTGTGATTTGTATGGGCGGGACCCGATGGGAAGTTGAGAGGTGGAAATGGAAACCAGACTGTAAACAGAAGCTCTGAGACCTGTCTGCTCCCCGAGCGGCACGTCAGCACCAGCCTATTACATGTGTGTGTGTGTGTGTGTGTGTGTGCGTGCCTCGGTATGATGACCAAACCGGAGCCTTTGCCAACGAAGACCTTCTGGAGTTTAAATATCTGACGATGTAAATTAGTTCTTACAGCTTCGGTTTAGTGACGGCTCGAAGAAAACATTGTTGCTCAATCCCGCCGGTGGTAACATGTTGTTGGATTATTTGGTTTTCTGGATGTTCATCCATTAACAAAACTTCACTGTGGGTATTATACCCATTACAGGCGGCCTTACAGGAAAACTCCTGCAGAGTTTGTCACAGAGTCACTATGTGAGAACGGAAACAACGCACACAAAAAGGAGCCCTACTCCTCCTCCAGCACCACAATGAGGTTAACGCTCCGGGTTTCAAGCTGAATATCTAAACAACTATCGGATGTTTCGCTATGATACTTTATTCAGACATTCATGATCCCCAGAGGATGAATCCTGCTCACTCCCCCTAGCACAAAGTTAGCATTCCTGGTTTTGAAGGAAATATCATCCATTGTATGAATTGTAATGAAATAGGTCCAGAGAGAGAAGTTCATCTTAGAACAAATCGTAATAACTTTGTTTTTACATTACACGTCATTTAGCAGACGCTTTTATCCAAAGCGACTTACATTACACTTTAAACCCATGGCTTTTTTCACATTTTTGCCCGGGGAGCAATTAGGGGTTAGGTGTCTTGCTCAGGGACACTTCGACATGGAACAAGGGGCAGCCTGGAATCGAACCACCAACCTTGTGCTTCCCAGCACACCTTCTCTAACCCCTGCGCCACGACGACCCAGCTTTTTTTCATGCTTTCATATCAAACATTTTGGTTGTTATTTACCACTTTTTGACGAAAAATCTCTTGAGAATTATTGGAGAAATTACCAAAGCCCTCCAAGAGAGAAAAGTGATCTTAAAGAAGCAAAAACAGGAGCAAGAGAGTAAAGCAGAATGGAGAGAAAGAAGGGGGGGCTGGGGCGGGACTGGGGGGGGTAACATGCTTACGTTCCACAGCAAAAGATTGAATGAGTAGAATAGATTGTTCAGCGATTGCTCAGCGTCTGTACGGGAAGAAAAAGAACACAACTGTGTCAGTGTGTTTGCTCAGCGCAGAGCGGGCGGCTCGGCGCTCCGGTCGGTGGGGGCCTGTGGCCCCCAGCCGGACGCTGAATAAGAGGATTAGCCGAAGCCCTGGGAGAGCCGGGACGTCCACAGGCTGCGGGGGTGAGAACCGGTGCCCACGCCAGAATGTGTGACAACACCCCCCCCCCTCACACAGCCAACCGAGCCCCTCTCCTGATGCCGGGGGGCGGGGC